TTCAGCTTTTAATATTTTCCATCTGGCTTGACAACAATCCCAGAGGAAAGCAGGAACATGTAGGGTTAAAACTGGAAGAAAAACAGATTACAAATGGACTAATGAGCTCAAAATGTTTGAGTTGGACTGGGAAACTGGATATCAAGTAATTCTTTTGGAGATCCCGAAGCTTAAAAGTCAAATTTTTTACTCAATATCCAAATCAGTCTTCAGATATTTAAAATACGCTGAGGTTTAGTTTAGTCTTTGAGTCTAGACTTTTTAGTCTTTATTTTGTGTTGTTGTTGTTGATTTAAAAAAATAAAAAAAACAGTTTATAGCAAAAGGCACCTCAGAAAATTGTTTATTGTAATATAGCAGAAAACACTGAGTGGCGTAAATAAAATAAGACTGCAATTGACAATTATTTTAGTAGTCAGATATTTACTTTTTATTTTCACTAACTATCAATTATTCTAATGATTAGTTGGATTAAGATTTTTTATTTAAGCACTTAAAAAAAATTTTTATTCCCAATAATTCAAAAACATAACATTCCCTTAGTGAATTTGAACCAGATTAATATAAAAAATACCACTTGATGAATTTTGGGTAAAATATATTCAGATAAATTATTTTTATCTTAAGTAGAAAAGTATATAAATTTGTACAGCTGTGACTTAATTACTGCTCTGAGTATATTTTATTTTTTTAGCAAATTGCATCTCTTTGAGCCTGTAGCGATTAATTGATTTATTTCAGCTGAAAAACAAAATATAATCTAGTGAGAGTTAATAAAAAAATCAGAGGATACAAAATAAAACAAACAAAAGTTATGCACATTGTTGTTATGCACATCCACAGTGTTATACTTTAAATTTAATAAATTAAACTTTAAAATTGCAGGAAGATGCTGCCCAAAAGGTCAGATGTCACCTTTAATAGTTTTTGTTATTGTGTAGTTGGAGTGTTTGGTTGAAGTTGCTGCTTTAATGAACATTTTGGTCGATCTGTTGACCAACGTTGATGGGCTGATTGAAATAGAGGTGGTGTTTATTTATATGTTCTCTAATCCATTTATTTGTTCCTGCAAGGAAAATAAATTAATCCATTAATTACAAAATAAATCCATAACTTAACTAAGGGCATAATTTAATATTAACTGGGGTTTAGATGATTTGCTTTCATTTTTGCAGTCATTCCCATTGAGGCATTCATTTAGCATAATTAACCTTCAGGATTGTTTTTTTCTTTGATTAGAGGCTGTTAATTTAGCAGAAATATATAAAAAAATAAACAAATTGCTTGTGGAAAATATAGCAATACTATAATATTTAGTAGTAAGATGCAATTATCGGAGTTACCTGGGTTCTGGCATCTGAGGATGTTTCATCGTTTCATTATTTAAGAGCAGCGGTTCTGCTCCTCTCAGCTGGATGTAATCAAGCACAGCAGCCACCCTATATGCAGCACATCCACCATGCACCTCACTGAGTTTAATGAAATGTTTATGCTGAAATGGTGATTAATATATGTCTAATTTTGCAATCCAGCTGTGATGCTAAATTACTGTCACAGGGGAATTGAAATATCACCGCATGTAGGAAAAGTGTAGCTGAATACAGTTACTCTTCACTTGAAATTACTTGCAAAGAAAAAGCTTTTTGTTAAAGCATTTACTAAAATAATTTTTTTCCCACCAGTTTTCCAATGTGCCTGTTTGGTTTGAATAACTGCTTTCACTCTAATCAATATTTATTTGTGACTAAAATGTAGATGTGGAATAAACTAGGGATGCACAACATATCACAAATATATTGTCATTGCAATATAAGTGTGGGCAATATTCTTGTCTCAAAGGATTGTTTTGAGTGCATTGGTATTTTTATGCTAATGCAAATTTTTAGGCCTATATCACAGGTGGTTGAAAGCGAGGGCAGTCAGTCATCCAGCGGCCCGTCATGTTTTTGAGTTAAAAAATGTTTAAAGTTGACAGTAAATTTGAAAATATCACTTGGTAGTTATGCATTATTGGAAGATTAATACCTGAACACCAACTATAAAGTCTTTAAAAAGGGCAATAAAAAAAAAAAACCCTAAAATAAGCAATGCTAAGCCTGATGGGGGCACAAGTAAAGCCTGGTGGCCCGCCAGGCTTATAATACACTGTATGAGACCCTGATGTCATCACAACATTTACCAATATTATCAATATAAGAAGATTTTCTAATGTTGTGCAGCCTCGCCCCCCAAAAAACACAAATGAATACATTTTCACAGGTGGTTTAATAATCAAAAAACCTCAATGTGAAGTTATTAATCTGAGGCTAAAGAGACGTTTTTCATTGAATTTTGCGACCATGTCAGTGTTGAAAAACTTAAAATAATATTGAAAATATTAATATTGATAAAAACTGTGATGATGATACCAGTTTGAAGAATTCAAAAACAAGAATTTGGACGCATCCCACATCATGGCCTCAAGCTCTTAATTTTCTCGTCTTAAACCGAAACCCCCCTGAGAGTTGAACTGAAAATCTGTCCAATCACATCAGAAGAGTTTTTGACCCCAACTAACAAATATAGTCACTGAACGGAGAGCGCACCGATAGGTGGATATGTTACTGCGTTATTGACCTTAGAGTAATGCTCTGCTTCTCCAGCTTCACCTGCTGAAGTTTAAATTAGCGAAAGGAAACAGAATCTCTTTCTATAATAATTTAATTATTTGAAAGATTGAATTTTTTGTGAACTGTGATGACATTATGTCATCGAAATTTAATTAAATAAATGTAATTAATTAAAATTCCTGCAGTTTGAGCCTGAAGTATATGAAAATGCTAAGGTTAAAGAAAGTCACATTACTAAAAATCAGTTTAAATGTGCAAAATACAACTTGGAAACTATATTTATCTAAATGTAATTCAGCATTTTCCAGGTGAAGATTTTCTCTCCTTGCTAAAAACTAAATATGTGTTTTATCTGGATGTAGTGAGCTCCAGTAATAAAGTGATTGGTTTCAATTTTGCTCAGATTAGTTAAAGCTCTTCATAATTCAAGTGTGAATGTGCTCACTGGCCCTTCGGTTATAGTTACACACTGTTTGCAGATAGCATTGATATGCATATCATTTGGATCTATTTTCATTTTCCTGCTGTGCATGGAAATGTATTCCTACATTTTCCATATCCTGTTTGTTTAGTCAGGTGGAGAACATCCTTACAGCAACTTCATTGAACTAAGCAATAGATTTAAACAATAATGAAGCGTAATACGTCAGTCTTTATGTAGAAATGTACAACCTTGAACAGTGGAAACAGTTTAAGGTTGCAGATACGCTATCTGTCTGAAATACGTCCATAGGAGATTTGCACAATGTTTATCAGATTTCCTTCCCGTTTATGCACCAAATTTACTTCTGCTGTGTTACATTAGAATATCGGTTTTGAGAACCTAAAGCTCTGGCTTTGTGCTCACAGCTGTTGCGTTAACTCGGTGCAAAATGAGCAAATTAAAAATCATTGGAGGCTCTGTTCTTTTGTTAGCTGATAAAACTAATAAATAAATTAAAAATTAGGGTTTCTTTAAAGAGGACATAAGCTGAGTGGGTGGGCCCTCACATTGTACACGTTGCACCTTGACCTCATGATCTGTCCATTACACTTGTTTTTTTTAACATCCTATTTCAACTGAGCATTAGTTCTCTGTTATTTTTTTGCACGTTATCACACCCTAATGTGATAAATTACTGTTTAATAAATAAATAAACTACTCTTAAGATGCAGTATGTAACGTTTATGAAAATATTTTTTCACATATTTGTTGAAACTGTCTCTATGTTGTGAAATTAAGGGACATGCGACAAACTCGAGGCCCAGGGGCCAAATTTGGCCCGCAGGAGCTTTTTTTTGTGGTCCTCTTGACTTCTAATTACCTGAGCATGTTTCTCCAGTTTTTCACAAATCTGCAAAAATCAAACTGAATTCAAGCTAAATCAACGAATCCCCATGTTTTTATGATTTCACTGCAAATGTTTCTCAAAATTGACCAAAACATAACGATGTCGAGTTATAGTCAGTGACCAATACAGCGATTGATAAAAAGTCACATTTAATGTCACACATTAGTACAAATATTGTAAAAATTTCTTATAAACATTTCTAAATTAGTGACACAAAATCTGTGATTTTGATTGCAAAAAAACAGAAACAGCAACAAAATCCTTCACTGATTGGTGTGAGAAGATGTTCAATATTTCATTTCAAGAAACGTTTATTGAAACATCTGGCTGTTTGTTGATTTTTTTTAACAGTTTAATTGGTTTTATCAACACATTCTGGCACAGCTGGCCCTTTAAGAACATTCAGATTTTGGATACGGCTCAAAATGAAAATGAGTTTGACATTCCTTTGTCGCAGCACTTCCAACGCTAACTAGGAACAACCAATTAGAGGAGGAGGGTGTTAGTGCTGCCAATCACCCTTGTGGACGCACCATTTCCCTGCCGTGAATCTTCAGTCTAGTTATGATGGCAGATAAATAATTTTCCTAGGACATTACGTTGTTTTCCGCCATTAGCACACTGAGCAGCGCATACAGAAGAATGATTGATAAGACCTTCCCTCTGGCTCTGATTGGTTGTTTTGGACTGGTGCTTTTCTTCAGTAGCATTGAGATGAATTAGATTATTTCACAGATTTTTTTGTCTCATAAGAAACTGACACAAATGATGACACTTTGAACAAATATGTAAAAAAACTACGGATGCACCAATATAAAGATTTGGGCTGATATTAATATCTAATGAATTAAAATACAAATAAATTAAAACGAAAACTACCAGAAACAGACAGCAACAAAATGAAAGAAAAATTGGTTATTAATCTCAGCCCAGGTGCCAGTATATCACGCATCTCCATAACAACCACATTTAAAAAAAATAAAAGTTATGTAGCTTTAACACTAATGATTTACATTTGAGGGGACATTTGGTGAATGTTTTGTTTCTTTCGTTTACGCAGGAGAGGAGCGACGTCCTCCATGCCGCAGCAGCTGCACACATCAGTCCCCGCTGAATAAAAGATGAACTGAGGACCTCGTCCACATTTCCACGTCCCAAACCGCTGCTTCTCTCCCGCTGCCCTTTCAGAGCAAGAGTTAACCGTGTTGCCTCACCACACCTGGACACAGAGATGCGCGTGCGTGCATGTCCTCGAAATGCATGACTGTGTTTGAGCGTCTTTCTGCTTCGCTTCCGTACTCATCTTCAGAGAGGCACTTTTCCACTTGACTGACTCTAGCATTAGTGTTCACGACTACAAAGCATAATGGGGAGGAAAAAGATTCAGATCCAAAGGATCACCGACGAAAGGAACAAGCAGGTGAGTCACTGCGGTGAAACAAAGGATTTTATGTTATTTTGCATTCTGTTTTAATTTCTGCTCCAGAAATTAAAAATCACACATTTTGAGTCATTTTATGATTCATCAAAAGTGTTTGAATTTAATTAGTAGTGATGGCTGTGTGTTTATAAAAGTATAATTATTCTAGGAAATTTGCAACAATTGTTGATATTTGAATTTATCTTGGATAAATTAATCCAAATCACTTGAATCTTCGATCCAAATTCATCTCTTATCTTTGACACTTTAAGCACTTTTGTTTGGTTTTTCAAATTCATGCCAAAGACTTGTGTGTCTTATTGTTTTCTGGGGACTGCAGAAAGATTTTTCTTTTTCTTGAATATTAGGAGGCTTTACAAACTGTTGGAAACAGATTGTAGCAAAATTTATTACAAGGTGCTCCTCTTTGTTTTTCTGTTTTCAGGTAGCCTGAAGTCACAAAACTATAAATGCTATAAAAAAAATATAAAAAAATCAGATTTTCTGTTTTGTTTGCCTAGGTTTGAGAATATCAAGTTTTGTAGGATAAAGTTTCAACCACCGCTTCTCATTACTGTAAATTAATGTCAGAGAATCACTTTTAAAAGTAGATGTTGGCTTAACATTAGGAAATGTCTGACTTTTTCGCAGCACATCAGCAATTTTATGCAACGCTGTTTGTTTGTTGGCCATGTGGATCACAAAGCTATTTTTTGATATGGGAGTTTATTTTTTCAACATTTTTGCATTCTTATTTTGAGTCCAGATGTTTACGCGTTATTGGAAAATGCTCCTTACCAGTCTTGACTTACAGTTTTTTTTTTTTTGTGATAAGACCAGAAAATAACAACAGGATTTATTAGTGCATTGAACATTTTTAGTTCTTTGCATTTCACTTTTTGGATGGTGAATTGAACTCATTGAGCATTTTTGCTCCCGTTACAGAACTGCAGGCAATAAAGACACCAGTTCCAGCTAATCCACAACATCCCTTCCCACCCAAAAATAAAAACAACAAATATCCTGTTAACCTCAGACATTCTGGGATATCACATGTTTATCTTCAGCAGATGCCAGCTGCTGAGAATAGATTTGAGTCTGGAGTTGTTTAAAGACTTCTCGCCCGTATTTGTGTGAATGTTTCTCACAAATATTGGGCTTTGTCTGTAAAAGCAAACAGTTTGCTGAGGTTTAATAATAGATGCATTGTGGAGTCTTGGTTTGTGCAGAGCAGGGATTTGGTCTGTGATGCATCTCTGATTGGCTTTCAGTTTGGATTAAACTCTCACTTTTCCACGTTTCTTTTCCTTTTGTTTCTTTTTCTTCAAGTATTGATGAAAAGTTGAATTGTGTTTTCATCAAACCACCAGATATTTTGTATCACGTTGCCCTCGATTCCAGCTTGTATTTTTCTTTCTTTTGTATTTTTAAAGCGCAGACCTTCTGCTCTTGACAGAAATTCAGGCTAATTTTGTTCAACATTGTTCTTGATTGCTGATCTTTTGCTGGATTGCAGCCGGAAGCTTTGCTCATAGTTTAAGAGGGAAACTGTTATTTTACTCAACTTTTCTTCAAAATAATAGAAATAATTTATACAGAACAGTAAACTGTAAAATCAGAGTTTTATTAATCTCCACTCAATTGTTTTGGAAAAGGTAATTTATGATAATTTAGCTTATTTTGTCAGTTAACTTTTATTAACTTTATTATGTAATTGTTTGTAAATTCACATTCTGTCTTTATTAATAAACTTTTAGTTTGTAAACAAAAACAAACTTTTATTCTCTTGGAATTCAACCCCTTCATGCTTAAAATGATAAACTGGAAAAGAAAAGCTAAAAAGAGAGCTTTGTTACATTAGTAAAGGCATACAATTAAAGCAATTTTATAAAATGGTGTAAAATCTGAAAATTGCTCCTCCAACAGTCGTTTCTTTCATTTTAATTTTTTTTCTCCGTTCTCTCTCAGGTCACATTCACGAAGCGAAAGTTCGGCTTGATGAAGAAGGCCTATGAGCTGAGTGTGTTGTGTGACTGCGAGATCGCCCTGATCATCTTCAACCACGCCAACAAGCTGTTCCAGTATGCCAGCACCGACATGGACAAGGTTCTGCTCAAATACACGGAGTACAACGAGCCGCACGAGAGCCGGACCAACGCAGACATCATTGAGGTAAATTCATCATGTCCGCCGCTTCCTGAGGGGTTTTCTGTCACAAAGGCAAATGGTTTTAACCTGGATAGATCACGCTCCAGCTTTAAATTAGTTTCTGTTCAATTAAAAGTAAAAATCTGGGAATAAAATATATTTCTAGATCCATCAGTCAATTTATTTAGGTTTATAAAATTCAGGTACAAATTTGTGACATTTTCTTTGACTCATAAGTGGGATGGTATATTCATTCTTTCATTTCCTGGTGGATCCAAACAACCTACACAACATTTTGTTTTTGTCTCTTTTAAAGTACGTAAAGAGAAATAATCATAGAAGATTAAAGTTGGAAATGGCAGGTCAGACCTCAACTAAACCCATATATCATGATTTTCCTAACAAACTGATGATGTTGAATCAAATATAAATGTTTTATATAACTGAATATGTGACCTATGGGACTTTATTAGAGCTAACTACATCTATTGGCTAGTAATTTAAAATAAACTCCTCAGAAATGAGTTTATTTTATTTATAACCTTTCAATATTTACCCTGCAGGTAAATGTAGCAAAAATCCACTTGTTTTTCCCACTTGTGATCAAAATGTTATTTTTTAAAAAATTTTTATTTAACGACAGTCTGAGCCGCACAAATCCATTTATTTTCCAATCAGACCCAGGTTACTTTTAATATGTAATCCTGTATCTGATGTGTTTAAAGTGACATCAGGGTGAACTGTTGCGTCTCATTTCATCTGACGTTTACATCACGCTAATGACAGACCGGAGAGAATCGACAAGATAAACATAAACAACAGACCAAACAAACATGGCGGATGTTGTAGCTGCTGCTCTGTCTAATAATTACACGCCGACCCAAGTTTTCAAAGTTGCAGGTTTCAGTTTGCTAATGACCACAACAGGCTTCTTCCTATTACTAGAGTTTGTCCCCTTCAAAATAAAATTCCTGCTGCAGCCTCATAAGTTTACACAGCAGAGGCTGTTTCAGAGTTGAAAATGCAGCCCTTAACTTGAACTCATTTGGGATATTCATGTTTGCTAAACTTTGTTTCTAAGCACTCATAGAGTCTACAGCTTATCTTAAACTGCACTGGTTCATTGAATATTGTTCCTCTCCCTGATTTGGTTTCTAGACTTTGAGAAAGAAAGGTTTCAACGGCTGCGACAGTCCAGAGCCGGACGGCGAAGACTCAATCGACCAAAGTCCTCTGAATGACGACAAGTTCCGTAAAACCACAGAGGATTTGGACGTCCTCTTCAAACGCTACGGCGTAAGATCTTTACTCTTCTTCTCTTCCTATTATTATTCCTTTTGATTTGTGAAAGAGGGGTGGCATTATTTTTAAAATCTTCTCTCAAGAGATATTTAAGCAATTGTTGCAACCTCAAAGTTCAGTTTTCTCCCTTTCAAGGAAGACTTTCATGTTCTTTTATGGTATTTAATGGATATTTGAAAAAATAAATAAGCATCCAAAATTAAAATGGATATAGAAGTAGAAATTAAAAGTATGAATTTCAGTTTATTTTAAGAATCGCAAAGTGTTTTCTATTCTGTTATAATGGAGAAATAAATCAAACATTATTGGGGTAGGTTGACTTATTTTAATGTGCTGACCTCAACAAGAACTTTAGTTGATTTAATCTCATTGCAAATGTATTATTCAGGAATTGATAAATATTTTGTTTTATTTGTTTTAAAGGCATTTGAACCACATTTTTGGCACATAAGGTAATGTTGTGAACCAACTGGAAGAAGATGATTACAGTTTTCTCTGGCTTCCAAGAAAGATGAAAAAAGACACTAAAACTTCACAAAAAAGATACATTTTCTGCACAATTAGCTCAATTTTATTTGACATTATGTTTTAAATCTGTGTCAAAATCAGAAATGAAAATATCAATATTGGCACTGAAGTAACTGTGATATTGTTTTAGGGCTGCAATAAACGATTGTTGAATTGTTTATTCTGATGATTAATCAGATAAAATAATTTACAGATTCTGCAGATTTTTCATTTAACTACTAAATCCTTTTAGGACAATACTAGTAAAATCTTAAAACATGAAAGTAAAAAAATAATTCATTTTTAAAATCATATTTTTTTAACAGAGTTTGAACTGGATAAAGCTACAACTACAGGGTTTGAGTTGTTCTTGGTTGAACATAATTCAATTTTTTATCGTAAATGCAAAATAAGTCTTATAACATTTTGGCTAAATTATTCAGAAAATGGCCTTTTTTGAGTTTGTATGCTCTTGTTAATAATTAATCAATTACTAAATTTGTTGCAGATTATTTAAAAAATTATGAATCATAATTCATCTGATTAATCATTTTAGCCTTGTAGTATTTTAGCAAAAGTTGTAGCATTTTTTAATGAATCATGCAAGCATCTTTTTGCTCATTACACAGTGAAACTGTAATTTTTATGTACAAAAAAAGTCATATATTGATAATCACATGTAGAAAACCTACTAAGCCTGGGGAGTTAGAACATGTTTAAGGTTGACAGGAAATTTGAAAATATCACTTGATAATTATGTTTTATTGTTCAATACCGAAACACCAACTATAAAGTCTTAAAGATCAATAAAAGAAGCAGAAATTTAAAAGGAATTTAAATAAACAATGTTCAGGCTGGCGGTGGCCCGTGTAGTGGGAAAATGTTGAGGTTACTATGATTATTAGCTGAATCTATGATAGCAGTATTATGATTGTGATGCATGAGCTCATGAAAAAAAAACTTCTGGAGTTCAGTTTCTTTGGCCTTAGCTTCACAATTAAGTCATTGTTTCTTTCTCTCTCATGGCTGAACGAAGACGTGTGCTGGCTGTCTATTCTGTAACCAAGTAGATTATCAGAATGAACTATAAAACTGCAAGCTGCTCCAGGCTCTTCCTCCTCCTCACTGCATTAGTGAGCAGAGACCTTGAGTGCTGTAAAGCCTTCAAATAAATACCAATTAAGAATATATTATTTCTCTGGTTCTTGAAACAGTTTTGCCTCACTCTTTGTTAAAGGAACATTTCCACAACACCCGCCAGGCTTATAGTACATACCAGCTGAAAGTGGATGAATAAATAAAGTAATACCTTACACTTTGAAGCGATGTGTGACGCATGGTTGCTGTTGAATTTGTTGTAAGTTGTCTAAGTGTGAATGTCGTCCTGCAGCAGACGGCGGCTCCGCCTCAGACCTTCTCCATGCCAGTCACTGTCCAGGCGTCCAATCAGAGCACACTGCACTTCAGTAATCCTGGCAGCGCACTGGTAACTACCTCCTATGTCACATCATCATCGCTCACGGATACCCACCTCCTGTCGCCGCAGCAACCGGCTCTCCAGAGAAATACAGTGTCTCCGGGGTTGCCACAGCGACCGGCCAGTGCAGGTGAGCATGCAGCGAGACGCAGCACAAAGAGGCAGGAGATGATCTGCAGCAGCTTTTTACCTTCACTGAGATGTTTCTGTTTTTATCTTACGTGGGTAGTTGTTCTTAATCAGTGCTGCAACAATTATTAGATATACTTTGTTTTATGTCTAATAATATAAAGTCTTTTGGGTCGTTGTTTTATTCTGCTTTTTTTAAGTGAATAGGAGCTACAGATGCAAATCTCCCCTTTGGTTAGTTTTTATAAATAATAATTTTTAGTGATTTTAAACAGAGGTTTTATGTGGATGAAAGGCCAAATACATAAAAATAATACATTTGTTTTCCCAATAATGTGGTTTATGTGTTTATCAGCATCATGTGTGAAATAAACAAATTATCTGGTCAAGTGCAAATTTTGAACAAATTTCAGTCTCAAAATCATAAATTTCAACAGTTTTACACAGTGGTTCCCAAAGTGTGGGCTGCGCAACTTAGGAGGGACGCAGGTTAAATTTAACATGTGGTAATCATGAATCTAAGCAGTTTAACTTGGAGTAAATGTGAATTTAAACAGTTAACATGTAGTGAATCATGAATTTATGCAGCTTAATATGTCGCAAATGTAAAGGTCTATGTCCTGGAGTACAAAACTAACCTCGCTGTCGTCAGTGTTTGAGTCTGTTCTGTGTTTTCGGTGAGTCGATGTCAGCCCCACCTCCGTTTCTGTGTGAGCGTGTTGTGATGAAACTCATCACAACACGTTGGAGAGAGAAAGTGAAACTGTATCATGTTACTCCTGGAGCAATCAAAGCTTCCTGGCCTTGGTTTTGGAGAACCTTCTTCACACACTGAAAACTTTTTTAATGTTCTGATTGTTTTTGCCAATGCTAATCCACTGAACCAGAAACTTTTTATGTTGTGGAACTTTCTAATTTTAAAAAGTAAGCCTTGCATTTGATTTCTTTTTGAATATTTATTAATAAATGCATATTCAAATACCTAGTGCCATATGCTTCACTATTCTTTAAAAAATTAGGACCAGAAATTTGTGCAAACTTCACAGAAAATAATCTGCCTACCAAATCCCCATAGAGTGGACGTTTTATTTAGTGGTAGGCAATAAAATAATTAATTGAACACTTTAAAATGGGGGCTACTATTATTAGAGCAATTTTACAAGATACTGGAAGCAGTAGAGTAAACATGATTTGCATTATTTTATGCTTTCCATGGTTTTTTACATCAATATATTGCTAGCTGATGAACTGTCATTTATTTGTTTGTTTAGTTGGGATGCATAATGCCTGAAAATGTGTAAGGGAATTTATTTTGTAGTGTGTATTTTATGTCATCCCTTTGAAACTTGATCACAGTGTTTTAACTTGGGAAGAAAACTTAAGCTTTACTTTCAATTTAGAGTTTGTTTCAGCCAAAAAGTCAAAATTGCATAAATTCATTGTATTTCTTTCTTTCTTTAATAGGTGCTCTCCTCGGAGGCGACCTGAATAATTCAAACGGAGGATGTCCAAGTCCAGTCTGTAAGTAATTTATTTCATTTTTTACAAAACCAAAATTGTAGCATTCTTTGTTTTTCAGTTTCCCTGATTTTGTGGTATAATTAAGTAATTATTCCTCTGTTGCTCCATCTGGGATTGGATGCTAATTAGTGGGATTTTCTGAATGTTCATTATTCTCTTTTGACATATGAGATATTTATTCTAAAAATGAAGCACAATCATACACCAATAAATAAATAGTATGGATGTTTTATCCCTTTCTTTTTTTTTCATTTACAAATTAGCCGTGATCGACAAAATGTGGCTTTTTTTGGACAAAAAAAAACAAAGAAAAACACCTGCAGCGCTCTTCCCCGCCGTTCGCGCTGAACAACGGCCACCAGGCAGCAGCTCTGGGAGGAGAAAGGCGGCAGCAACGTGCCAGTTATTTTATAGGATGCTTATCGGTCCCCCGAAAAACAATAAAAGCCCGGACATTATCATGAATCAATAAAATCCTCCCAGAGTGAACTTGATGCTGCTAACACTTAGCTTTCATCAACGACTCAGGCAGAAGTGGGCGCGCTGTGCAACGCTAATATTGTCTCGGCTGGAAAACGGTGCGCTAAATAATAAAATATAAATTAACCAAGCTTCAAGGCAGATACATTTTAGTCTAGGAAGTTTAATAGTCGAGGTACTCGAATCACTCGAGGAATCGTTTCAGCCCTACTTATTATGTTTCATATTTCTGTTATCATTTTGTAAAAATCAGTTTCCACTTTGACATTAAAGGTTTGTCTTTTTGTCAAAACAGCTACGTTTCGCAGATCATGATTGATTTGTAAAAGGAGGAACTGTATTATTTAAGAACACATCTAATTTAAAGACACCATTGAGCGGCTTGTGTCTAACATGTGTCCAATAAATCACAACATTAGTGTTGTCCATCTTCAGGTTCATCCCTCGGAGTCGAGTCGTTTTTTTAGAGGATTCCTCAACAACGAAACGCAACTCTAACGCTGTCTGTACCCCTACTCTCTGTTTGATCGTTCACTATTGATCGCCATGCATTCGCGCCTCCATCTCCCCCTCAGCTAATGGATACACCAGCGCCAGGGCCTCCCCAGGTCTGCTCACCGTCTCCAACGGCAACAGCCTGGGGAAAGTAGTTCCGGCCAAGTCGCCGCCTCCGCCTCCGAGCCCGCAGATGGTCAACAGCCGTAAGCCAGACCTGAGAGTCATCACCTCGCAGGGCGGGAAGAGCCTCATGCAGATGGTGAGATCAGCCAAGTTCAACTTTGGTTTAACGTTTCTGACCCCTCACTTCTTTTCATGATGGCTAGAAAAGCTCACAAACCCAGCAGGTTTTTTTTAAAACCAACATGTTGCCAGTTACTGTCATCAGGGGCTTGAAAACCTTGAAATAATCTAATTTCCATTTGGATTTCCCAAAGTGTGTACTTGAAAGTGCTTCACTTTCAAACTGCACAGTTGTGATCATAAATCAGAGTGAAAATGTTAAACTTTTTAGTGTTTTGTTTTTGCAAAAACTATTTTATGTTTTCATTTTGACCTGAAAGGAAATATGAGAGCAGTCACATAATTTAGCTGCTTTTGATAAATTGTTCTAAATTTAAAATTATTTTGCAGGTTTGTCAGATTAAAAAAGATAAGGACAAGCAGTTAGTAGGCCTGTCATATTTTTCAAAATGTTTTGTGTCTATTTGGCTCACTCTTGCTTTATTTGTTTTCTGTGCCTGGAGTTAAATCAAACTAAACTTTTCTTTTTTAGGCTCTTTAGAATTACCAAAATTATTTTTGTTTGCTTAATGCCAGAAAACTTTGCAAGATATTTTTCTAACTTTTGTTGTTTATGATGTTTAAGCATTTAATTTGTTTAGATCGTTTCAGTGTAATGAATATTGATTATTCCTAATTGAGCCGATTATATTGTGTACCTTAAAGTTAATGAAATTGGGGGATTTTTTTTGTTCGGTTGGTGTTTTGTTCTCAGATAAGTTAAGTGTAGAATTTTGCTGTATTTTAGTTGTTTCTGTAGAAGTATTGATAGATCAAGATCACCCAATACTGTATTGAAACTGTCTTTTTTAGTTCAGTGATATTGTTTTTATCTCATATTTGTGGTGCTGTAAAGGTTAGAGAACTTACCTTGATAATGCCTGAAAAGTGGAAAAACTGTCAACATTTTCCAAGTTCCCATATCTTTACTTAGAAGACAAAACGATCCAGAAATCATATTTCTTGTTGCCAAAGCGCCCCGAACTATACAGAAGCTGGGTAAATATCTCAATCCTGGGGTGAAATAAATGAATGAGGACCAAATTGCTTCATGTTTAATTTGATTGAACCCATAAAACTGAAGATGCTGCGAGAGAATCAGGAAATATTAATTTATCTTCTCATCCAAAACCCGAATGCTCAAAGCTCTGTTATTGATAATCTGATCTTTTTCATCAAGTTGTTTGATAATCAAAATTTTGACTGACAAGTTTAAAATATTTATTCAAAATCTTGTTTATTTCTCATCTTGTATCTTCAGTATCAGAGGATTTTTTTCAGATTTGTTTACTACAATAATCGAGCTGCCTAGTAAAGAAAATTTGAGTGAACATAAGTTTTAAAACAAACATCAGACACAATAATGAAAAATTCTGTTCTTATCCTTTAAAGAGGCAAATATTTTATAAAGGAATGATTCACGACTTCATTAGGCTTCAATAATTGCTTCAAGTATTTCAGTGTAATGTGAAATTAAAGTGTAAAGGTGGGACAAAACTAGGTTATAATCTTTTGCCCAAACTATTATAACATTATTTAGATTCTCAGTTTTAATGTGTCTCTTAAAGAAACCTTTGATAAATAATTTGAACTGTTTCCAAATATTTTTATTGTCTTTAGTTTGTTGCTACCTCTTTAGATCAGGTCTGAGAAAACTAAATGTTAGCTAGAAGATGTCCAAAAATGTGGCTTTGTTTGGTGCTCCTCTCATTTTTTTTAATGAACTTTGAACAAACCAATGAACTAGTCTGAGCTCAGGCTTTGTTTTCATGGTTTTATTCAGTCACTCCAGAGTTATAACCCTCTCTGTTACAACTCCTTGCAGACAGAGGATGAGCTGGAATTGGTAAACGAGGTGATTTCCCCCCCCTCACTCCCAAACACATTCATCAGTCACTCGCATGAGTCGATGCCAGTCAGCTGTCAGCATGAGTGCAGGACTCTGCAGGAGTTTCTTCTCGTTTCAGTTTTGTTTTCACCGACATTTCCTTTGAGATGGTGTTCCGTTTGACTGACTGCATGTGGGTCAGGGTTCGTGGATGTTTTATTCCGGCGTTTGTTTTTAGTTTTTAGACATAATCTAGAATTGAGCCCTTCACATTAATCTCGTTGACGGTGCCGTGGCAGAAATATCAAAGTGCTTTTCTGCAGGTTTGAGCTGGACTCGCTTCATCGTAACGTATGGTGCTTATCTAAAGCATGGGTGTTGTTCTCACTTTGGGTTGTGGTGCGAAGCGCCACAGAGCATGTTTCAGTGTTCACCGACGGTCTCACACACTCATTTCCACTATCCGACGCACAACGTTTGAGATTTTTAATAACTACTTTGAATTACATTAAAGGCATTTAACTCCAAATCTGAGCTTTCATGGCCAACTGTCAGTCGTGAAACACAAAGCATGTAACTTTGTGTTTCATTTGTTTGTTTCATTTTTTGCAACTGGTAAATGCAGAGAAGTTAGAAATTCAGATTAGGAGTTTAGATCACGCAAACAATTTTAGTTTTCACCCTTTCAGTTGCAGATTTAAATCCAGAGGAAAAGATTTTACCTGATACTACAGCTGCAGTAGCATCCTTAACATTTTTAGCTTTTAATTATCATGGCTTCACTTCTATTGAAAGTTTGTGGCAAAGGGAGGATTTCTAACTTTCAGAAAAAATGAAAGTATCCAAATATTTGTCCCTAAGTGACTTAATTCAGTGCGTATCAGCATCAAAGTGACAAGTGGAAACACATTTGTCACTTTGTGGCATGAAGGTATAATGATTAAAAAAACAGTGTACACTAAGTTTAAATATATTAAGGCTGCAACTAATTATTGTAATAGTAGTCAATTATTCAATCAATTGTTCTGATGATTAATCAGTTTTAAAAATAGCCACATTTTTCAGATGTTTCATTTAGTCACTTAAGCTTTTTCGTACAATATTAGAAATACCTTGAAAGATGCAAATAAACAAATACTTCAGTTTTTTTTATAAATCATTCTGTACATAATTTGATTTGTAGGTCTTCTGGGTAAAACATTTACAAGGTTTTTTTTTAGGCTTGAAATTATTATTATAAATTAAATGCAAAATGTACATATTTTTTTGCACAGTTTTGCTTTAATTACTTCCCTGATGGCCCTTTTTGAGTTTATATGCTTTACTGAACGATTAATCAATTACTAAATAATTTGACAATTTTTCAAAAATTAATCACAATTTATTGTTTCGTTCCTAAAATATAAAGTGTAAGAAAAAAAACAGTATTTGTAAAAATTAGCAGTTTTCCGATTCTATTAAATGTATTAAAACAATATATTGTGGAAATGTAACTTTTTCCACAATATGTTGCTAAGCTGTTGAAATCTAAACTTTTTCAGGATGCATGCCCTTCACAATGCTTGCAACAAAATACGATAATAATAGTTAAATGTGTCTTTCGAGGAGTAATGGCTGCCGCTGGTGGCTGTTCTCTTCCCTCTTCGACAATTCGTCTTAAAGTCGACAGGCAAGATTCTCATTTTCCGGAAGATGGTGATTAATTTTCATCACTTTGTCTCTGCTGGCGCTCTCGCTGTTCTTCCTCACAAAGGAAGATAATTAAATCTTTCTCCTCTTTGAGGTCTGTCTCTGCTCCTTTTGTACGTTTAGTGTAATTCAAAACTCCTGATGAATGGTCCTTTTCACACATGAAGGTAATTCCAGGGAAAATCCACAGAATCGTTTGCCTTTTATAGCAAGACGATTTATATGTAGAAGTGTTTAAAAAGAGCTCCAGTTTGCTTCTCATCCAAGGAAAATTTGAGCTCTTTTCCACCAGTTTGGGAGCAGAAGATTTAGACACAAATCATGTGGTTTTGACGACGTCCCTCAAGATTTAGTTTCAAAACGCGTGTATAGAAAAGTTATTGTAATGAAAGGAGTATTTAAAAGGTTTTTTCTTTCTTTACATGTATTGAAAATTCAAGAAGAGCAATAAATATCTCCAGTGGTTAATTGGTTGTAAGGCTTGATAAAATAAAATAACATAACATAACCAGTTTTAGGTTTTTACTCATCACTGCTCAAAAAATAAGAAACGGCGTTTTGTGCAAACTGTGGATAAAAGAGGAAAGCTCAGACTACCAGTTTGACAGTATTTCAGATATTTAAAACAAAACAATAACTATTTACATCGATTTATGTTTTGTTAAGTTTTTCACTCCAACTGTCCAGTTTATATCATAAACTAGGTTAGTTATTTCAATGTTGCGCAGTAATAAGATTTAGGAAAGATGTTACCAGTCAGTTGTTTTTGTAACCAACGATTGAATAAATTGCCTTTGATGTAATTCTCTTTTGTGTCTTATTCAAACCAAGGAGTTTGTTTTTGATGCATGTCATCAAGAACGCACTGAGAGGTTTCCTCGGTGTGGAACGTCATTCTGAGTTCAGCCATGTGTGCATCTGTCATTCCCAGCATGTCCAAATAAAAACAAACAAACAAACAAAAAACAACTGAAACGGGCTCGCAGAGGAAGCTGTTCCCTGTTTGTATTTTTGCTGATGTCGTTTCGCTCTTTGGCAGAACGCCCAGCGGCTGGCGGCCGGAGCCCAGGTGGCACAAACCCTCACCACACCTGTGGTGTCTGTAGCCACACCGAGCCTCCTGGCACAAGGCCTGCCCTTCTCCGCCATACCCACAGCGTACAACACAGGTGAGGCAGAGACTGCAGTCAAAGGTGGAGGGATTGTGTGAAATCTAGTTGCATTTTTTGTTTTACATCATATTTTAACGTTGTTCCCTCATTAAAAACATACCCAGAGCCTTGCTTTGATTCTTTAATGCATGTTTTAATGAGTGTCCAGGCAAATAATGATCGATGAATAGATTACACAACAAAAACTTGAACTGTTTTAGGTATAAACCAGAGAAACGAGCTGCACCCGTTTGAATCACCTGAACATAAACAGAAGTTTAAATCCGTATTGAAATCCTGCACCTTCCCTCAGAGTACCAGCTGACCAGTGCGGACATCACTGCTTTACACGCTCTGGCGTCACCAGGCGGCCTGTTGCCGACCAGCGTGTCCACGTGGCAACAACAGCAGGCCGTCTCCCAGCAACAACAACCCCAACAGCAGCTTAACCTTGCATCACTCAGCAACTTGGTGTAAGTCTCCTGATTTTGTTTATCCTCTGCAGACATGGAGGAAATGTTTGTAACATCCTCATCCATCAGCTCAGTCTTCTGATAACAGCTTGACCCTACCAGTTGCTTGCATTATATGCATACCATGACCTCCAATGCAAGCAACTTGCATCCTCTTTAGTGACCTGGTTTGCATGTCACCATTGTCATCACATCGATCCGAGTATTTTCCTGTGGCTTTTATTAAACCATCAATCGTGAGCAGGGCTAGCAGGTTGGCTCTGCCACTTTTCCAGAAGGTATTATAATAATAAAGATAAAGTGATTTGATAATATTTTGTTTGCTAGATCAACAGGTTGACTAGAACAAGGGTGTCAAACTCATTTTCGTCTTGGACCAAATCAAGATAAAGAATATTCTTAATGTGCCAGGATGCATTGATAAAACCGATAAATAAACTTAAAATATTAATAAGTAGCTGTCTGCATTTATAAATAGTACTTAAAATTAAATATTGAAAGGATTTTCACATTGTTTAGTCCCTCCAGGGTTTTGCGATTTTGTAATTTTTTTTGCAATCAAAGTCTCTAATTTTACGGTGCTTATTTAGAAATATTTCCAAAAGTATTTTTTTAATATTTACGCTGAAATAGGTTACATGACTTTTATTCATCACCATACTGATCACTGAATGTTTGCCATCAAACAACGCTGAGGCAGTAGTTGTAAAAGTAAGAAATACTGCCTCCTACAGGAGAGAATTAGCATAACTTAAACCCAATAAACTTAGTTATTATGTATGAGCATGAGAAAAATGCTTGGTTTGTTGATTTTATGTGAATTTCCACAATCATGGAATCACAGCAACTGGAGGGACTGATTGATGTAATTTAGCATCTGGAGTCAAGAGGACCACGTAGAAAGCTATGGCGGGCCACGTTTGGCCCCCGGACCTTGAGTTTGACACTTGTGGACGAGAAGATGGTGATTCACAGAAATAGAGAATGTGGCTTTATATTTAGACCTGGACAAAGATTTATTTCTTTAAAGTTTTCTTTACAGGGAACTGAAAACTCACCTGAAAGTTTTCAATTTCAAACAGAGCAGCTAACAGTGTGAACTGTCAGGAGTTTTCTTCTGGTCCAACATGTCAACAGATCCTACAGATTCCTCCAGGCTCTACGGCGACTTTCACACAATGCCACACATTCATGTCTTTTAAAGTTTATCATCCAGAGAGGATGTGCATTAAGCCTCTCTGTATTTCCTCTTTGTGTCAACAGGAACTGTGAGTGAAACTTATACTAAACAACAGTTGACAATAACAAAACTACATTTTGTCATTATAGTTAAAAAGTACTTAAATGGCTGTAGGTTAAGTGCATTTTAATAATACATTTGAAATTAAGATGCTTTAAAGCCACATAAATCTTTTATATATAGCATGTTACTAGTGAAGTTCTGAATTTCTTTGAAGAATTTGAATTAATATGAGTTATAACATTTAATTTCCCTTTGAGATCAATACAATATATTTTTAATTGATTTTAATTTATATTATATGACATACAGCTCTGGAAAAAATTAAGAGGCCACTTAAAATGATAATTTTCCCAGATTTTTGTGTATGTATATGTTTGAGTAAAATGAACATTATTTTATTCCATGAACTACTGACATTATGCCTCCGAAAATCCAAGCAAAACTTTTGTATTTATTTGAAGAAAATGAGAAATGGTCAAAATAACAAAACAGATGCAGTTCTTTCAAACCGCAAATAATGCAAAGAAAACAAGTTCATATTAATTTAGAAACATAATGTTTTAACTCAGTTCAGAAATCAATATTTGGTGGAATCACCAGGGGGTTTGCAATGGGGTTCAGTGCAGTGGGCTCTTCATTGTTTCCAGAGCTCAACATGTTACTTTTTAAGCGTAGTTGGTCAAACATAGTTTTTAAGAAATCTACACTTCTTATTGAGAAGGTAAATATGATTTGCTCTAAATTTTGCCATTAATTTGTGAGAGGACTCAAATAAAATTTGGCCTTTTTGATAAAATAATTACTACAGCAGCTCAAGAATAATTACATTTATTTAATTTACTTAATTACTCAAAGTAATACTAAATAATTTTATACAGAAATAGAAATGCAGTGGTTTTAAATAGCGTATCAATAATGATCCGGAAAGTTTTTAGCCTCTTTTCAACCGATACGTTTAGTGAAATTGCTGTTATCAGTCAGGATTACAATCCTTAGATCAGATTAAAGTTTTCAATTTTTTTCCCTTCACAGAATCAAACAGTTTCCATTTTTCTTCTCCTTTGCGTTTGAAATATGGGTGACTAAATGTCTGTGAGCGATTTCGGGTTTTGGTCTGGTAGATCCTTGAAGTGTGTCCTCTCCTCTCCTCCACAGCATGTGGGGCGTGGACAAACAGAGCAGCGAGCTGTCTAGCCAAGTGTCCAGTCTGGCTGCCAATCTGAGGTGAACAGCCACCGCTAGTGTGTGTGAAATGTCATGACTTTGTCTGTCAGCCGGGGTTTTGGGAGGCTCTCTTTGTATTTGGACGGATCCTGCCTCTAAAGCAGCAGAGCAGGAGATTCTGACGGGGCAAGAAAACCGTTTCACGATGAGAAAATTAAACTGGTTTAATTTATCTTCTTTTGAAATTTGCAAAAGTTGAAGGTTTTCACATTTTGCCACCTTTAAGCAAATTGGTGACTTCAATACATGGTGGTGGCAGCATCATGCTGTGAGGATACATGAGCAGAGACAGGGTGACTGGAGTAGGGGTGGGCATTTATCGTATCGTTTATCATTTACTGTGAATATTTTCTCTTATTACCTCGATCAATTTCAATAAATTATTTTTTTAGAAACATCAATAAATGTCAGTAAATTTGAAAATATGATTAAATGCACTTACTGTGTGCAGCTCAGTGATATAAATCAAGGTTTTTAAGTTAGTGGCATCACAAAGAAGCGTTTTTCAAACAGGGATGTTCTTAAAGAGCAGTATTTGTGTTTATGGCGCGATGAATGCTTTTCCATGCAGTTGCCTATGACAGACTATAGCCAATAATTGACCAAAGGTCATCAATAACATGTTAAAGGCTTTCTATTGTAAATTAGGGTTATCCAAAATGTGGCCTGGGGGCCATTTTATGGCCTTGTGGAGCATTTTAGCCGGTCCCCCTGAGTTAAATTGTGGAACAGAGTAAACCTGCATGCAACCAGACATGTTTTCATGTTTTAGGGTTAGGGTCCCCCTAATAGTTCAGAATTACTAAAGGAATACTATGTTTTATAAAATGTTTCTTATTTAAAGGTTTATTTTTACCTCTGTTTCTAATAGTGTATGAAAAACGATTAAGTGGTGAAGTGAAACATCAGTAGAATGTGCCATTGTTTGATCCAATTAATCAATTAATCGTCAATCTCAAAACTTTAGCTGATTTTAATTAAAATTGCATTTTTAATTTAGTATTGAGCAAAATATTCAGTTGTGAAAATGTAAAAAATCTAAACAGAAGAAAAGGTGTGGAGAGCAGTGACATAAATATTGCACCCAGAAAACTCAGAACATGTAGGACCTTCTTATTTTGTCTGCTTCAAACTAAGATCTGTGCTTCCGGTGCTCAGAGAAACGGCGTCACTGCGGTGAATCCAAACTTGCCTGCCATAATGTTTCACACTTTTCTCCTCACATGCCTCTAATCCACCTGTTCCCTTTCGGTTTGGGCTCCAACATGTTGTTTTCTCCCCACAGCGTTGGCTCTCCGTCCAACCTGCTCTTGGGTAGAGATGAGTGGTTGGGCCGGTACTGTATCACACTTCCTATTTCCTGTGTGTCTTGTGACTGCTTTTTGGCTGCCGCCCCTCCTCCCCTCTCTTTAAGCATGCCTGCTGCCAAAAGGGAAAGTGGTGTCGCTGTGGTTTCCTCCATGTTTTCTAACCAGGTTATTATTTTCTTCACATCCTTGCTGACTCACTGCGAACCACCCCGTCACACACCAATCATTTCATGCTTCTGTTGGCGGTTTGGAGCTGCTGTTGGGGACGTTACTTTGCTTTTGATGGCTCAAAGATGGCCGCCGGTGAATAACTGAGTGTTGCTTTTTCTTGTTGGTGCCGCTCTGTGATGTTCTGTCCTGACACAAACGGTCTTCAGGGGATCTAATTGTTCGCTTTTTGTCACACTGCTAATTACTGTTACAGCGCCTTACAAAAGTTTTCACACCCCTTGAGGTTTTTCATGTTTTTGTCATTTTACAACCATAAATGTTGATGGATTTTATTGCAGGATTTTCACATGTTCTGGAAAACTGTGGAGACTTGAGTTTGGTTTTTTTAAGCCTGGAAAATAATGGAAAATTCACAAAGAATAGAAAAAAAATATTATTTTTTGTCCTATTTTGCTCGTTCTTTTCTAATGCACTTCTTGTCTCCTGTCTTGTATACTTTGTTTCCTTTCCTTCTTCCTTTTTTGTGTACTTCCATGTGTCCTGTTTTCATTTCCATTCTTCCCTCTGTCTATCTTTCCTTCTCTTCTTTTCTTATTATTTGACAATTTGCTTCCTTGTATAATTTCTCATCTTCCTTTCTTGCTGTCTTGTCTCTTATTTCTTACATTCTTGCTTCCTTCTATCCTTGTGTACTTTCATATGTCCTACCTTTTTCCTTTTCTTGCATAGTTTCTTGTCTCCTTAGTTCTTTCTTTCCTCGTATATTTCTACACCTCTCTTCCTTGCATAATTTCTTATCTTCTTTACTTGTTTTCTGTCTTAATTGCATACTTTACTGTCTTTTTCCTTCTTTGTGTCCTTTTCGTCTTACATTTCTTTCCTCATGTCCTTTTTGACACCTTTCTATCTTCCTTTCTCGCCTACCTTTTTTCTTTCTCGTATCCTTTTTTGTTCCTTATTTCTCTCCTTTCTTGCACTTTCTTGTCTTACTTTTCCTCCTTGACTTTCTTCCCCTCTGTTCTCCCTCTCTTCTATCCTAGTTTGTTCTTTATCATTTTTTGACATTATGAACAAATTTACAGTCTGTTTGTGTAAATTAAACAATTATAATTTTAAAAATTGATTAAAAAAAAAAAGAATCAACAACAAAACCATGACCTGTCCATGATGACTCAGGCTCTGTCAGGTTCCAGTTACATTCATTCTGGGACATGGTTTAAATATGAAATAGATGGTTCATAGCATTCATATTTATTTTTAATTAATGGTATACTTCAATACTGACTGTGACACTAGCTAAAACTAGTTCTCTCCTATTTACATCTGACTGGGTGTAAATTAAACCCAGCCGGGTTTTGAAAAACTGGAGTTTTTACATAAGAATGTACAAGAATCCTGTTTGTGATGTGATGGATCAACATGTTGCAGTTCATACCTGAAGCTGAAGGAAAATGATGCATGATTCAATGTTTTAATTAAAAAAAAACAGCAAACTTTTACTTTTCACTTCAGTTATTTGCTCCTTTGTGTTGCTCCATCTCATAAAATTCAATAAAACATTAAAGTCTGTGGTTGTAAACTGACCAAATATGGAAAAGCTATAAAAAATGATTTTTATCATGAGGGATGGTCAGTGGTTTCGTTTTTGCTCCGCCTCTCATCCTCCATCTTGTTTTCTTCCCTCTGACCCGTTCCAGGCCGGCAACCCACATACCTCAAGGCGCCATGCTGACCGTCAACACCAGCTCCGGCGTGAGCATCAAGTCGGAGCCGGTCTCACCCGGCCGGGACCGGAGCACCCCGTGTCCTCCCCCCGCTCCGACTCCGTCCACCACGCCGTCCTCCACGTCCGGAGGCGGCATCTTGACGGCGCCGCCTCAGTACCCCAGCTCGCTGCTCTGCCTGGAGCCGCCGACGGGCCGCTCGCCCGCAGACAGCGTCAGCAGCAACGCCAGCTCCTTCGAGGGCAGCGACCGCGAGGACGCCAGCGCCGCTGGCGGCGGCGGTACCGGAGGCGGAGGCACCGAGCTCCTCAGGGTGTCGAACGAACCGGATCAGGAAGGAGGAAACGTAAAACGCATGAGATTGGACGCCTGGGTCACATAGAAGCCGCCTCTCGTCGCCCAGAGGAAGTTCTGACTCGTAAACACTTACCTTCATTATTAGCCCCCCACGACCCCGTGACCCCACCACCCCACTGCCATGTGACACTATCACCACACGTCTGCACCTGTCCTGCATTACACGCCGCCATCTTGAACTCACAGGGCTTTGCCAAAAACAGACTGGTTTGGATGTCTGCGTTCAGCTGGATTCGGGTTTTCAAGTCTTGAACGGATTTCTGTCATGATTTTTGAGGCGTTTGACCTTTTTTATGCAATTCAACGCAACCACAGAACATTTTTCATGTGGTTTCTCAGTGACCTTCTCCTGCTCGCGTGGAGGAGCGTGGATCGGCGGCTCCTCGGCGTTACGGGACGCCTGCTGCATGACTCGTCACTTCCTGCTCCTGCAATCCCACGGCGTTTTGATCGCGTGCTGTCCATCTTTTCCCCGTGATTTCACCTGGAGATGTTTGAGGGCTGCTGGGAAATGTTCGACCAGACGCTTCAGGTACGGGGTTCCTCCACTGCCTGGAAAAGTCTGGAATCTGACTTCAGGATTTTCCATGTCTGGAAAAACAAGAGCTTGGAAAAAAATCAGCACTTCCTCCCAATTTGTCCTTTGTGTTTCCAACCCTGTTGTCTTTCTGTATTTATGTCCTACTTCCTTTCCTAATGTCCTTTCTTTATCCAACTTTCTTTTTAGTGTCCTTTAAAAAATTTTTGTGTCCTTCTGTTTGTTGTCGTCTTATTTGTGTCCTTCTTTCCTTCCTAATGTCTCCCCTTCCTTGTCTCCTACTTTCCTTTTGTACTTTTAGAGTCTTACTTCATTTTCAACTTTTCTTTCCTCGTCTCCTATCTTCCTTTCTAGTGTTTTCCCCTCCCTTGTGTCCTATTTCTTCTCCTATCTCTCCTCCATAAAGTCCTATTACCTTTTCTACAATCCATCCTTCCTTACATCCTTCTTCCTTTCCTATTGTCCCTACATCCTTGTGTCTTACTTCGTTTTAGTGTCCTTCCTTTTTTGTTCTACTTCCTTTCCTAGTGTCCTTCCTTCTGGACATTCCTTCGTTGTATACTACCTCCCTTCCAAGTGTCCTTCTTTCCTAACAATCTGGTGTCCTTTTTTTGTGTTCTGTCCTCCCTTCTTTCCTTCCCTATTTAAATCCCTCCATCAGTAGAAATGTCTCCCTCAGATAAATTTCGTATTGATGCTCCATATGAAAATTGGGGCCGATATCAATAATGCTGTTTTGGCCGATAACCGATATAAATATAAATATATTTCTCTAGTGTTTTGACACCTTTGGGGGGAAAAAACAAACGGCAACAAGATGGAAATAAATATCGGTTGTTTGGTTTATCGGGCCGATCCTTCAGAGTCCACAGTGGGAGTTCTGGTGTGGGATTTTTCCATGGAGAAGTGAAGGAACCCTGTTGGCAGGAAGAGCCTCCAGAAACGGGGCGGAGTCGAGCGCCAGCGTGTCCACGTCGGCTCTTCTTCTTCTTCTTCTTTTTCAAAACGGAACCGGACGCCAAACGTCTCCCTGGAGACGCGGCAGACTTTGGGAGCTCCTCCATCCATAGGAACTTTATCGAGCCTCGTTTAGTTTTCTTTAGTATTTGGTTCTTCGGAGTCCAAGTGTTCTTTATCTGTTGGTATTTTAAACATGTTTCGCAGGTCCGTTAGTCGTCCAGAGGTAGAAGTTCAGACTTTGTATTAAAAAAAAAAAAAAAAACATATTAAAAAATAGGAAGAAAAAAAAAATCACTCCTTATACAAAAGCTTTGATGTCCTCTTTAGCTCTCTATATCCCTCCATAGCTGTGTTTGGAAAAGTGAAAGGAAAACAGACTTTTTCTATATTTCTACCGCTTCGAGTCGGCGACAAAGTGAAATAGCTTTTTGGCTTCAACCACGTCTCTGTACATAATGAGTATATTTGCATAGACTTTGCTAGGTATCCCTAAAAACAAGCAATGTGTTGATTCTCAGTGGATCTGTCCGCATATATGAGTGTGACTTTGATATGTTTCTGGAGCCGTGTTGCAGGGGGCGGGGCTAGTTTCAGTAATCCTCCATTTTCTTCTAGTGTTGATGGCGTGCGCACTTTGTCTCACAGAGGCCTGTTTGGTTGTGGTGTCATTATTACTCTCCTGCCACACATCTTAAAAAACCCACAAATGAAGGTAAATCGTACACCGTGACGTAAACTCTTTATTACTATTCTTGTTAGGATTATCATTATTATTATCATTATTATTAGGACACTGCCATTCACTTATATTGTAGCGATGGAGATGAAATACACTTTGAATTGAGTGTACCATGTAAAAATGTTTTCCACGTTAAGCAGACACAGATGATGCCGGCTTTCCTCTTTGCAGATTGGTTTCGAGTTTTCTGTTCTTCAAATGTGAGCCCAGGTGGAGTAGAAAGCTTGCTGACGAACCCATGACAGTTTGATCTGCCCCGATAAGGAATTAAGATGCTAATATTTCACCTAAAATCAGGTTGGAGCTCCGGACTTTCAGAAATATTTGATAAGCAGCTTCTCTGTCGTGGTTTCGGAACAAAAATGCAACATATTTGTAAACAGAGACTCCAAAGAAGCATAGATTAGGCTTTTTCTGAAACAATTAATCGGATTAATCGTGAAGAATAGATTATTGGAACAATCGTCAATCTAATTAGTAATTAATACTTACAAATTCAAAAAGAAAATTATTTGCTGAAAGAAAGGTACAGTCAGCGAAAAAAAACTCCAAAAATATAAACATTTTGGAAAAAAAAGCTGAAGGAATGTTATTTCATTTCAGGTGGTAAAATGTTTTCTTTTTTTTTATATTAATTATTTATTTGAATTTTTTTACAATATTTCTAATATTGTATTTAAAAAAAAAAGGCTTAAGTGGTGAAGAATGTGTCCATTCTTCCATCTGATTAATCGTCAAAATAATTGATTAATCGTCAAAATAATCGATTAATCGAAACTATCGTTAGCTGCAGCTCTAAATAAAATTTGCCGTTTTCAAACAGAAATTATCCTCATTTATGCATCAAGTATGTGTCTCTGGTTTTTAACAAATAAGAAAAGCAGTATAAACTTGTTTAATACAATATTTACTTTGAAGGCACTTAATGAGTCAGAGGTCAGGATTCGACCTGCTAATCAAAGAGAGAACTGGAAGTCGTAATCGGTGTGAAACGAGTTCGTGACTCTGAAAGCCCAACACAACCGCTAACAACCAGTTAGGGACAAAAGCATGAATTTATTTATTTTTCTGTTTTTAGCAGCTTCAGAAGCCCCCTCTATGCTCACATCTTGAGTTTACTTGCTTTTCATTTTTGTTGGATTTTTGACGAATAGGCAAAAGCTTCTGACTTTCTTTCCCCTCTGAACTCTTGATTCTCTGCGCTGACATTTTGCCAATTTTCCTCCTTTTTTCTCTCAGACATGCAAAGAAAGGTTGCAGTGCAGAGACAATCTATATGAGGAAACCTGCACCCCTGTTACCTGTTGTGTATAATGTTTTTTAGAAACTCACTATTTTTGGATTAATTTGTGCTGGTGACAGTTCAGACGTCTGTTTATTATGATGATGATGATATTCTGGAGCTTTTATTTTATGGCTATATTTTTGTGTAGGATAGCTGTTTTCGTTCCACCTCTTTAATCTTCCTTATCATAAACATATAGTACTGGTTTCCTTTTTTTGTTTTGAAACAACTTGCTGAAAATTGCACGATCAGTTCTTGTGGTATTAGCAAATGCAACGAAGGAAATACCAGTTAAATGCTGCAGTTTTAATTAAGATATATAGAATATATTTATAAAACGGGAAAACAACAGAAATTAGTCATTCATGAAATAAAAAACAAAACATGTAAATGCATGGGACACAGGTAACAGCTAAGCTTATGTTACATACAGTAATGATAAGGACATGCATCATAAATGAGTTAAAACAGCTCAGAATAATGTAGCATATGAAATACTAAAGATGAAATTTATAGCTAATATATTGTGTCGAGCTGGTCTGCTTTGGGTTTTATTGTAAAGAAGATATTTCTTTTTTTTTGTTCTTTTTGTTTTTGAGAATGATATACAGTTTGTGTATATTTTCATATACAAAGTATGCACTGATATGTTATTAAAATTCTATACCGCTTTTACAAAAAAGTGTTTGTTGTACCAAAGTATCCAAGTCCCTTGAAACCTTTATCCTTTTTGCGTATGTTTTACCGTATTTTATATATTAAATAGACAAACTGAGTGAAATGACACAGAATCTGTGGGTTTTATTTTCTGGTCTCGGCAGAAAGTGTTGCAGCACTTTTATCTTCGGCTGTTTTTCACGGTTTTGGTGAGAACTGCGCCGCTAAATTTAGCTGTTTTCTCGTGACCTTGTTCGGCTCTCTGGAGCAACAACAGAATCTGGTGATTAGCGATTAGCATCGTGGGACCGAACGATGCCGCTCGTCCTGTCGGCTCGTTAAGTTTTTGTCTCGCACAGAGTGCAGAAATCTAAATCCAGGGTTTGGATTTCCAAACTTCATTCCCTCGCTTCCAACTACAATTCAAGAACAAATTAGTACAAAGCTTGGATTTTAAAATCTAAATTTACTCACAAAAATGTTAAATGTAATACAAACATTTTACTTTACTGAGATTTTTCACTCTAAAGTTCAACTTGGTGCACCCAAGTCTACGTTTGTATCTATTGTATTAAAACTTTGTTAAATAGGTCGGGTGTTTTCAAATGAAGACTGACCTAAATCCAGTTTTTATTTATCTAAACCAGATCAACTTTAATAAGAAAACAAAAAACATTTGAAGTGTTGGATCAACAATCATGTTTCTACAACAACAATTTGATTATTTCTTTAATTAAAATAGTTCATTCTTAATGTTTTGTTGATTATGTAGATATGCCTTCTTTGTAGAAAAAGACTGCAAAAGCGGTTGGTCATTCATTCAGCAGGCTGCCGAGTTTTTGAGTTAAATTTTTTTTAAATTTACAGGAAATTTGAAAATATCACTTGATAATTGTGTGTCATTGAAAGACTGGAACATTAACACCAACTATAAAGTCTTAAAAAATGCAAAACATTTTTGAGCCTTAAAAAAAAAAGCAATGCTTAGCTTGGTGGGGGCACCAGTAAAGCCTGGTGGCCTGCCAGGCTTATAATACGCTGGAGGAAACCCTGACATGATTTTCTGGGGTAGCCAGCATTTTTTAAAAGCGGGTGATGGGCCCCATGTGCCCCCCTCTTAGGATTGCCACTGGTTTTATTTTATTTTCTCACATAAACTATTTTAAATTGACTGAATTTTCTACAATAAGAAAAATGTTTGCAACTAAATTAGTTTTTTTCTGTTTTTCCACAAAAAACAAAAAAGCTGCTCAACAAGTTAATTTAGGTTGTCTGGTTTAGCGATATCGTGGACACCCATATATGGCCTTTTTCCTGTCTAAATTTTGCCCCCCAAAAATTATAGAAATGTAAATATTTCTTCACATCCAAACGGAGCAGAGAGCCGTTTAACGACATCCAGACGGGCCAAGTTCTCACAAATATGAGCTCCACTCATGAACTCATTATGTGGACCTAAAATGGCGTTTGGCTTTTTAATAAACATTCATAAAAGTTTTAATAGTGGAGTTAAAGAGGCCAGCAGGGCTTCTGTTTACCAGAGTTGTTTTTCTACAATATGTTTAATCATCTGAGTGCAGTTGCTGAGGGTTTACTGGAGTTGCTGCTCAGGTCATGACATGTTTTACTACGGAAAACATGAAGGGAGTTGCTGTAAAACACCAACACACCAATGAAGAGACAAAAAAAAAAAGCTTACACTGGAATAAGAACATTTTGTATTTTTTCATAATCAACTAATGCCAACTTTGCTTAAATTGTGCTTAGATTTTTTAAATTTTATAACCTAATTATAGAACATAAATCTGGGATATTCAACATGAAATTGACTTTATGTTGTAATAATTGTTACATGGTGTTAGCATATGTTACATTTTCAAAATACTTTTACAGATGCAAAGATTTGAGTTACTGAGAACAGATTTTTTATTCAAAAGACTTACAGTCCACATAAACATAAAAAACATAAAAAACAACATGATAAAAAACTGAGTTCAGATTTCAGCAGGATTATGTTGGTTAAAAATGGATGTCATTTAGAGTAAATTTAACACCAAAAATATTGCAGCGTATTTTGTATTTTACAGGTTGTTAGAGATAAATATTGATTTCCAGTGTTTGTCATTTAGATTTTTCAATATGGAAGCCATTGAAGCTACTTTTTTTTTTTTACATTAAATCTGTCTGTACAAGACACACAATTCAATAACGAGTCATTTATTCTGCATTCAGCTTTCTGTGTCATAAAACTTCAATAAACCGAATTACTGAATGAAATATCGATCCCATCTGCTTCACATCATTCAAGAAAAAGAGACGAGTTTCATTTTTTTTAGCCGATTGTGTTGTGAACAACAAGAAGCTTTAATCTGGGAAACAACGATTTAACTTTCATTTCATGATTTACATTAAAAACATCAGTGCGGAAAAATAAAAAACACATTCATTTAAAAACAAAAACATAACATTTCGTGAGAAATAAAAATGACCATAAAATACAAAGAACATTTTTTATATGTCTATATTTTGTGCTTTCAGGGATTGATGGGAAATCTGTGAAAACTATTTGTTTTATGAATTCAACTTGTTTTGCAAAACATTTAAACAGAAATAAAAACAAATATAAATTTAAAACTTCACATTTAAATGTAAAAACATCAAAGGGACAACTGTTATCGATTACGATCGAAACCACAGATTGACGACGATTTAATTCAATAAATAAATGTTGATTTTTCTTTAATAGATAAACCGAACTGTTAGAATTTCCACTTGACTATTGGATAAAACTTTACTTTTTTTTTTTTAATCAAACATTTACATTTTTATTCATCAAAACTGACTTTATTTTAGCATCAAGTTTATTAAAAATACACTCATTAAATCCAGTTTTCAAGCTTCTTATTTAATTGAAGTCTCGTTTTAAAATCTTCAACCAGACAGGTTTGGATTTATAGATTAAGAACATTTTTTACTTGCATTTGTTCACTTATGAGAATATAAAATAAAAAAGAGGCACATGTTATAAATTGGCTTTAATTGCACATTGTTACTAAGGTTTCATTCAAACAGACTGACAGTCTTAGAAGCTTATCTGAGCCAAACGAAACAAACTTAATGTTTTTAATAGCAGATAATTGGCACATAATAGGTAAACACTTTAGAAAATGCTGAGAAAACACGTAAGTTTTATTATAGTTATCATAACTGTATAACTACAGGCAGAGTTAATACAGGGATGAATAGTGAACACTATAATCCTTAGGATTTTAACTAAATCAGACGTATTTGTAGATATTCAGTGAGAGAACAGAAGATTTATTTGGCGTCTAACCCAGTAAATTCAGTAGTTTTATTTAGAGTCATTACAGATTTCCAAACTAAGCTTGTTTGGTTGGTTTTCCGTTGTAAACAAGCAGCTTAACTCGCCACATGTTCACCGCAGAGACATAAAAGTCTCTAAATCAGATTCAAACTCAATGATTAAACATATAAAAGGTGTCTGCGCGATTTGCCTGAGTGAGTCATGTTTCCTGAGGTTCCTGAAGGTGTCGTAGCAGCTTTTCTCACCGTGTTTTAGAGACCTTAAAGCCACCAGCGCAGCCTGGGCGGAGGATCGGTGGCGGGCGGCGCCACGTCGAACACGGAGCTCGGTCCGACCGCCGAGCAGACGTAGTAGATGTTGGCCACCAGCATCACCAGGACGGGGAGGAAGGAGAAGCCGAAGCCGAAGGCTCTGATGCTGCTGCCCAGAGCGAGGCAGACCCAGTAGATCAGCCTGCAGAGAGACGAGGATCCATCAGAACCACTTTAGCAACAACAGGAGAAATATCAGAACAGAAACCAGAAAACTGAGTTCAGGCTGAACAAAGTCTTCTGACATTTCTTCAAAATGTAGAGTGGATGAATGAATGAATGAATGAATGAATGAATGAATGTTGAACGTTGGATGAACGGATTCTCTGACTGAATTGCTAATTTCTCTGATTCGATCATCATCCAACTCTACAGGTAAAGGAGAATCATCACGTCGTCTTTCCTGATTGTGTTTTTAGACAAAATAACCTCAAAGACGAACTGAGAAGCAGCAGACAGAACAAATCACTCCAGCAACTGAACCGTCTGCCTGGTTCAGATGGTGAAACTGCAAGTAAGAACTTGTCTCTTCTGCTGAATCACTGCTGGTTTAGTACATTTCCTCCCGTGTTTATGAAGAGAAAAAACACATTGTTGAGTATTACTGGCAGCTGAACTTACAGGAAGTATAATAGTCACAAGAGGAAGTGTGTTGCTGGAACGTTTTTAGATAATGATTCATCGATCAGTTGAAGGCAGACAAACGAAACATGAACGCTTTGCCAAGATAAAGATATGGAGTCGCTGTTGTAAGATAGAGTGAGAAATCGAAGCATCTGGATGATCCAAAGGACAGCTATGAAAAAATAATGTATAAATGTGACTATTATCCTTCCTTGAACAGGTTAGGGTAGATCTGTGGGCGACGTGAAACATACATTTCTTACAGAAAATTATTCTTAGATAATGAGGTTTCAGTCTGCTCAGTTCTTCCTGAATTATCTATTTTAGAGCCTCTTGTCACTTTAAATCCAAATAATTTGCTGCTGGCCACGCCTCCTAATTCAACTTTTACCACGTGAAAATGGCTGCAACTTTGAAAAGCAGAAGTGGAGCTTCCTGCACAACCAACAAGAATGCAGCAAATGGTTTCTAAACACTTGCTGCAACAACAAAAAATAAAAACTAAAACATTTGTCTTTGCCATTTGTTTTCCCACATACAAAAGTAAAACCAGCTGACCAAACATGCTGGAGCTTTACTTATTGCCAAATTTTGACTTATTGTAGTTTTTTTCGGGCTGGAAGTACAAAAACATACAAAATGTGAGTTTTACGTAACAAACTCCCTTTCTAAACAACAATAAAATCCCTTTGTATCCGTTGTGGGTAAACGCCTACCTGCCAAAAACAAATATGATGGTGAGCAGCGGCACCAGCTTAAGAAGGTCCTGGCTGATGTAGGTTGCCATGACGGCAAGCTGCAGGAAGTAGAAGAGGAAGAGAGACAGCGATTCGTTGACGTAGTGCCAGTGAACCATCACTTCCTGGTCCACCAGATTCCCCTGATAGAGCGGCTTCAGGGAGCTGAAGCGCAACCGGGCAATACCCTGGACCAACACGCCTGCACGCACGCACACACACACACACACACACACACACACACACACACACACACATTATTATGTCTTTTTTTCTGTATTATTCTTTACATCCCAGGTAATTCCTTTATATAATGCACCAACCTCCACTTGGTAACTTTTTAACTCTAGTAATTTATCCATTACATGTTTATATTTACATGCCTCTTACAGAAAATGTATTGATTTATTAATATTGTCACTATTATTCCTTGATTGTTGTTGTTGTTTTAATTACTTTACATAATGATAATATCAGTGTTAATTTAGTTCAGCATCACTACTTACACACTCATTAATGTTCATTCATTTACTCAAAGTATTTTTTGTTTTTTCCTTTTTCACTCATGTAATGTACAATAAATAACTATAGAAAAAAAAAAAGAAATACCATTACAGACTTTTATGCAAGAAAATGTTTTCTTATTTAATCTATTTGTTTATCTGCATTAACATATTTCTAATATTGTATAAAGAAGGCCTAAAAATCTGCTGAATATTTTTATTCAATTAATCAATTAATCGTTTACTAAAATAAAAGCTAGTTCCCGCCGTAGGTCTTACCCAGGATGATGGGGATGATGGCAAAAAATGAGCAGCGAAGTGCGTAGAGCACTCTGTAGGGGGCGCTGTGGATCTTGGGTGGGTCAAAGGGGAGGAGCGCGTATCCACCCCACACCAGCAGGGGGAAGCAGCATCCTGCGGCCAACGTGGCTAACACCAGCTGAAGCTTCTCGCTGCACACATCTGAGGACGAGACGCAGTCAGAGGTCGTCAGAGAGGAGAGATGACAAAAATTATAAAACATCAAAACTGAAGTTAACAGTTTACAATATTGGTTTAACTATTAATAAATTTATTTTTTGATCGGAAAGAACAAGGAAACTCCATGGAGAAAGACGTAGAAAACATCCCTGGGTTTTCACCTACAGTCACTTCTCTACTTAAAACCCAAACATGAACTTAATTAATTTCCATAATAATGTTTTATTACCTTATGATGAAGTGAAATCTTTTAAACTGGTCATCAGATTTCAAGCCAAATAAACTTTTTACTTATCAAACTGATATTTTTTAACTTGGGTCGCGACTTCAATGCTTTAATTTTGATTATAGATTTTAACACGTTAAACATTTTTAACACAATTAATTGGTCTTTATTTCTCCTTCTACCTGTGGGGGGCAACTTTTTGCTTTCAAAAGACAATTTGATGGAAAGCTGTAAAACAATATTGTTGTCTGCAAGTTGTGCAAAAACGAGTTGGTCAATCACCAAAAATATGCAGGTATAAAATATCATCTCAGTCCTAAATATATCGCAGCAGCACAGATGAAATATATTTTTTGTTGAGCTCATTTGTATATTTATTAAATAACTTAACAGCAAAATGGGGTTTGAATTGAAAAAAGGGCTGCAACTAAATTATTTTAGTAATCGATTATTCTGACTTGCAACATTCTGGAGGCTTTAAATTTAACCACACAAACATTTTTTTATGTAACATTAGAAATACATTAAAAGTTGTATCCAATCAAAAATTTTATTCTTTCTTTTTAAATAAGAAAATAAATATTTATAACATGGCATTCTTTTTGTGAGTTGATCATTTGTAGCAAAGGATGAAAAGATATGTCTTTTCATCACTTTATGCTTATAAAATTCAGTGCTAATGTGTTGATTATTTTTTGGATTAATAACTGGATTGCAACATATGAGGTTATATATATATATATATATATATATATATATATATATATATATATATATATATATATATATATATATATATATAGATTTTTTTATACATTAAAAGCAAAATGTTTTATTTTTTTGTAGTTTTGACTTAATTACTGCTCTGAGTTTGTTGCTCTTCTTTCAAATGTCTATTTATGACTCCAGTTAACAATTAATCGATTACTAAATTAGTTGACGATTATTTCAGTAATCAATTAATCACAATTAATCATTTTGCCCCTAATTGAAAATGTTGATTATTTTCACTCTTCATTGAGTCTCAGCGCTGATTATAACAGATATTGACTAATTTAAGTATTGACTATTTCTCTGGATATGTTTGGAAGTCGATCGGTTCCATTTGGTTCTGATAAACTGGGTTTTTCACTCACAGTACTTGTCGTCCTGATCTTCCCACTCGGGGTAAAACTGTGCAGCGGGGTGATAATCCATGCTCAGCTCCCGCCTCTCCTCCTCCTCCTCCTCCTCTCTGAAGTGCTGCTCTTCCTCAGGAAGCTCCTTGGTGGTGGGACACACGATCGTGACATGTGGAGTGAAACCCGTAGAAGGTTTCTCAGACATCCACCCCTCGTCCTCCTCATCCTCATCATCGGCCAGGGAGCCGTCTCCCTTGTCGTTCCTCTGCAGCTCGATCTCGTCGTCCCTCCACCGCTCACCCTCAGGCATGCTCTCCCTCCACTTCGCTTTGCTCCTCACCTCTTCGTCCGCTTGGCTTCGCTCCTCTGACAGGTCCTGACTCAACCCAGAGTCCTTCTCCTCAGGCCCTAAGACATCATCGTCCTGCTCCAGCAGCAGCCTCCTGTGTTTGTCTCCACCCCAGGGTAAAGTGGCTGGCTCAAAATGAGCAGATCTTGCCATTTCTTCTTCTTCCTCTTCTTCCTCGTCTGTGCTCTCGTTCAGCTCGTCTGCGCTGGTGTCACTGTCTTCTTGTTTTTCACCTTCTGCTATTTTAGGTTTTGCATTTGAGCCTTCAGGTGGAAAAACCGCCACATCATTTAAATCCACGACCAACACATCCTGACCAGCCATTCTGAAACTGTCTATTTTGATATATTTATGGATTTCTGGCCGATATCCAGCTGAATTATAAAGATCCTCAGTGTTTGTAGCAACTCCTTTTGCTCATGGAAGCCATTTCAGACAGCAATCCTGGAAATTTCCCTGTAAAGACAAGAGCAACAACATGCCGTTTCACCCAACAACCAAAGTTCAATGTTTATCATGGGTGTGTTGCTCTATGTGACTGATCCTGTCCCCACACAGGACAATCCAGTTTACACAGTAGGTTTGTGTTCAGGCAGCTTTGTTTTCACAAATGGTACTTCTACTAAATATCGCTGGATTATAAAGAAACTAAGGAGAAAAAAACTGATTTATTATCCATTTTGTGTGTGTATATATATATATATATATATATATATTATATATATATATATATATATATATATATATATATATATATATGTATATTCAACACTACATTTTGGCTGAATGTATGTTTATTTTACTTAAGGATGAATCACTCAAAGTCATCATAGCATTACTCACAGGCATCATGTTATTTTAAATTAGTTGTTTTGTACTTAACAACAATAGTGACACTAATAATAATAAAAAATAAACAAATATACAGTTTCCCAGAGGCACATCTATATTTTTTCTGTTACTATTTAACTCCTTCAGCCTTTACCATCCATCCATTTTCTAACTCTTGTCCCAACTGGATCAGGAGGGAACCGGGAATCGAACCCAGGACCTTCTTGCTCCAAGTGTTACCCACTGAGCCACTGTGCAGCCCTCAGCCTTAACCGTTAAACGTAAAACTGTTGGTTTAAAACGGATTAAAAGATATTAGACTTTAAATAAACCAACGTATATCAGTAATACATGTTACAGCGGGTCTCTAATGTCGCTCGCGCCGTTTAGCTATGAAGGAATGTAGATTAGCTCGACTTGCTAAGCTACTAAAACGGCGAAACGACTTTAAAATGTATAAACTCGGACGTTTCCACCAACCCGGGTTTAGTCGATCCGCATCGCCGAAACTTCGTCAACTTTCGGATTTTGTTGAAAGTTCTGTGGTTTAGTAAATCCAACGTTTAAACCACAAGTTACCTGTCAGGTGGAAGGAAGCTGTTTTTTCCTCAAAGATTGTTTGTTGCAGGAGAGGGATCACACCGCCGAAGATCCCGGTTCCCAAAAACGTCCAACGTCACTGTCGACTTTATCTGACGTTTCCGCATTTACCCCGCAGTGTTCCCTAAATAAATCGATCAATAAATAGATCAATACATAAATAGATAAATAAATAAATTGATAAATAAATTTTCAAAGAAAGAAAAATAATTTAAACCCATTTGTACATAGTAGCATTTTGTTTATTTTCATGTGTTGCTGTTTACTTTCATCCCAAACTTACAGCTAAGTTTCAAATTCCAAATGACGTTCAGCAATTATTCAGTTTTGGTCTCACCGAGTTTTACATCTTCAGAAATAATGACAATATAGAGAAAAATATATTACATGTAAAAAAAACAACAAAAACTGTTTAGTAATCAGAATGCAGCTATAATTGCAGTTTAGTTAAACACACATTACAAAGACGATGAGAAAGACATTATTTTTTTAAAGAACATGAAATTTTTAGGTCAACATATAAAACCCACTCAGTCAATGTGAAAATGCATTTTTGTCATAATTAAAAACATGATTTTGTGATTACATTTCTATAAAAATAAAGCTTAGCGTCACATTATAATTTAAACTAAAATACCCGGCGGATGGTTGTTGATTTGTGGGAGGAGTTTAAGAATCTTTCATTAAAAAAAAAAAAAAGTCGGGAAATACCACAAGCATTGCGAGGAATGAGCCAAGATGGTTAAACACGTTCCACCGACTGGACCCGATCAGTCGTAACACACCACACACTACAGGATGATCGGTTACCGGAAGCGACAATCTTAGAACTCAGAACGTTTTAAGATTGTCGTAAGGGCAAAATCGGGCCCGACAATCGTGTAGTGTGAACTGCACGATTGTGCATTTATTTCCTGACAAAATCAGCTAGAATCTGCATTTGTTGTTTATTTTTAAAATGTTAGCTTGTTCTCTATTAATTTAACCCATGTGAAAAGGTTGCCGATCTCTAATCTAAAACAATAAAATATAAAATGTTAAGTTGTTTTACAAAACAATAATGTTGCAGTTTAAACCCACCAATTCTTTAATTCTAGTTTTCCATTAATTTCTAAATATATGACCTGCAGTGGACATTTCCACACTATAATCTGGTTTGAGACCATCAGACTGAGGAGGCACAAAGAGAGATCAGGAAAAATGAAAAGTGGAAAAGTAAGGAAATACAAAATGTTGAAATGAAATGAAACCAGAAAAGATAAAAAGGAGGGACAAGTAAGAAAGACATGAAGACTGCGGAATATATATATGGTTTTTCAGTTTGTAGTGATTGATCTGTCCTAACACAATCTTTGTCGGTGACTCAGGTGCAGCGTTCATTAATGACGTCACAGGAATTGAGGGTGTGGCTACTCAAATGTTTATATAAAAGAAAATTAAAAAAACTGCAGAAAATGAAATGGGCAGATGAACATTTTATTTTAATTCATTTTCTCACAAATTATTAATCTCAAAAATCCACCTCAAAGCCTAAATTAACTCTCAGATTTAAAAAGTTTTCAATATGAGTAATAATCACGTACAACACACAAGTACCCCAAAAACACACACATGAATGTTGGTGACATCATCAATTGAGCCCAAAAAACAACGTTAAAAATAAAGAATAATAATAAAAAAGAAAAACAATGAGAGCTACACGCCTGACATTAAAAGACAAAACAAACCATTAATAGATACAAAGAGGAATTCCTCCAGGGCACAACAGGAAAGTGAGATGTGGTTTTTATTGGAGGAATGCAATTAACAGAGTCAATAAAATAAAGTACATTCAAAGCTTTGGCACTGAGGCAACAACAGAACATGGAGTCATGGACAAGAAACAACCAAAATGCATAAAACCAAAAAACTTCATCCCAAAATGAACGCTAAATTATTAGAAACAAAATACTTCAAATTGACACCTTTTTTAAAAAAAATTTGTTCAGTACTTTGTTTTTTAAAATCTGTTTTCCAACGTGGGTTTAAGAAATGAAAATTACATTTTGGCTGATTTACAAGGCAAAAAAAAAAAAAAAAGATTCTGAATGGAAAAAACTAGATCAGCTTCTAGCGCCACCTTCTGGAGGATGTTAAAGGTCTTCAGTTTCATCTCTTAATAGATGTGGAGGGTTTGTCTGACAAACAAGTCAAAAGGGACAAAAATATATGCATCATGTGCACCGATTAAACTGCTAGAGTTTGAAATCGGCCCGATTTTTCATTAATGAGCTCAGTGACCCCCCCCAAAAAAAGCATCAAGAACAGGAAGTCCCGCTATTTTCAGTCTGTAAAGGCATCAACAATTAACATACACTTTGACACCTTTTGTTTTGAACTGAATAGAATTCAGATAAAGGTTAAAGGTCAAGTGCTTCAATGGACATAATCTTGTATTTCCTTCATGTGAATGTACAGACATGTTGTTTTTTTTACAATCCTTAGAGAAAGAAAACAGAATCAACCCCTTTCTTTTATGAATATGCCCAATAAAATCAAAACGCTGAAAAAACACAAAATCTTACCAAGTATTTCTGCTCTAGTTTTCACTACAACTATGCTAACGCTCCGAGGGTCGTCTCGCTTGGCGCTGCCTCTGCGTCCCGAGTCCAGATCGAACCGCGGCATCGAACGGGCGAAACGTCTGGTGTGACGCAAACCAACTGAAAGTCAACAAGAGAAATTGTCCAGTGTGAAAACTCAGCAACTTTTTATGTCGGACGAAAACAGGCCCGTCGCGATAAACAATAAACAAATTAGCACGATAAAGGAAAATGACTGACTTCATTTTAATTCATGGTGTCATCCAGTGATGACAAAAGGCTCACCTCCCTCTGGTGTGAGGGAGGACTGAACTATTGCATCAGGATGTGCTTATCTTTATCTAAATCTATTGATTATTGAGAGATTTCATAATCTGCACTCTTTTGGTTGAATGTAGTTTTTGTTGTTTAGTTTTGATTCATCTGCATTTTTTTTAATAGAGATTCAGAGTCCATTTTAGTTTTGCTTTTATTTTATTTATCAGTTCCAGTGCTGTGTGATTTTTTTGTAATAAAGTGTATTTATTTTTGCCAGAATGTTGCTTGCATTATTATGTCATTACCATCGCATCAGTTTAAAATGGTCTTCAAACAATATTATCGTTTATCGCAATAATTTTTTCAGACAATTAATTTTTTCAGACAATTAATCGCTCAGCAGAATTGGTTACGGGCCCGGATGGGAAGAGCGAACCTTCCCGCTGCCGTCCTCACCACTTCCTGCAGAGGGACGATGGAGAGAGGCTGACCAGCAGCGTCTCTGTCTGGTTTGGAGCATCGAACGCCTCAGACTGGCAACGTGTGGAGAGAGGAGAGGATTCATCGTCCTTCCATCCCTCAGAGTCGCCGTCTGTTCAGAGTTCGGTCCATTATGAAATGGTTTGTTCTCCCTGCTGCATAAAAGCTTCAAATCCAGATTCATTCTTCATAAGACTTCTAAACTCCCATTAGTTTAACCTTTTATTATATATATTTACATTAATACTTTTATTATCACTTATTTATTGGAGCCTTGCAATGAATTTCTTTCAATTTGTACGTTTTTAAACATACAATTGAATGACAATAAACTCTATGTCTTAACATTTTAGCAATATGTAAGATTGTTTAGTGAATAATGTCTTAATATTGATTCACTCATAATATTGGAAAAAATATATATTGTTATAAGTGCCAGTGGAAATATTATTTTAATCAATATTAAGGAATTATTTACATAAACAAGCTCCTATCTTGCTGAAAAGAAACTATATTTGTGTTGTTTCAAAACTAAAAACTAGATCAAAAATACTTGATAAAAAATTGGGGGATTTTTTTGTGTGTTTTTTTTTTTGGAGTGAAATGCATCAGAATCAGTCAACATTTGAATCAGCAGGACCACAAAGGAAACCGAATAAGTTTCAGACAACAAAATCCAGATTGGTATGAGAACAACCTGTCCACTTCTCACTCAAATGACAGAAATAACTTCTTTAAAACAATAATAATAGTAAAGGCCCAATAAAAGAGATGACGACATTAGAAGTAAACATGGAGACGCTGCTGAATGCCTAAGCCTAGCGAACGGACAAAAGGTTAAAACACATGATCTATGACTCAATGCAACGACTACCGCCCACGTCGTGGTCAGACCGGGCCGAACATCAAGCCTGTCCGCTGATGTCGTACTTAACGTCCTGAGCCAGGACAGTTTCTCCGGGTTCCTCCCCGCGTATCGACTCCGCCTCCACCTGCTCCTGTCCGCCTTCGCTAGCTGCCTTGGAGTCGTTGAACTGCGCGTCTCCTCTGCTGGAGCCTTTCGGGCGGCCCCGCTTCTTCCGGGGGGCGCCGTCGTCTCTGCTCGGGTTGGCCGCCGGGCGGCCTCTTTTCCTCGGCGGGGAGGAAGGAGACGTTTGGCTCTTTCGTAAGTGAGCGCCTTTCTTGGACTTGCGCGGCCGACCGCGGCCTCTGCGAGGCGTCGTTGACGCTTCCTCCTCGACTCGGGGGTATTTCCGCGGTCGTCCCAGGGGTTTCCACACTTTGGGCTTCTTCAGCTCCTCCGCAGAAGGCAGAGGGTACTTCCGTGGTCTTCCCTGCTTCCTACGCGCTTTGAATGGAGACGGATTATTCTTCGTAGAGCCTTTTGGTCGACCTCTTCCTCTCTTCACCGGCTGGGAGTCGTCCAAGTTCTTCCTCGGTCTTCCTCTTCCTCTGTGGGATTTCTTTGAGGCGGTTCTGGGAACGCCACCGCTGTACTTCACCACCGGCTTCCTGGGTCGACTCGTTGACGTATTCAGTGATTTCTCGGCTGTGTGCGATTCCGAATCCCAGTCACTGTGCTCCCACTCCACCCTCGATTTCTTATTGGGAGATCCTTTCGGTCGGCCTCTTTTCCGAGGAGTTACGGAGCTGCCTTCGTCTGCGTCAGACTTGCGCTTTAAGGGGGCTTTCGGGCGCCCTCTTTTGCGCGGACTTGCGCCGCCGTTCACTAAGCCTTCAGCGGCGGGTTTCTTGCCAGACCCCTGTGGCCGTCCTCTTTTCTTTGGAGATTGTTCTGTGCTGTCGCTCTTTTTCTGTTTCGTGGAGCCTTTCTGCCTCCCTCTGCCCTTGCGCGCTGTAACCGAGGCCTCTGCGTTTTCCTCTCCAGACTCCTTGGGTTGAGGCGTGTTGTTTGAATCCTGAATCGGGTCTACTGCATTCTTGGAGCTTTTCGGCCTCCCTCTCCCCCTTTTGATCGGAGTTTTATTCACCACGTCGGCCTCCCCTTCACTGCTGGCGGGGTCTTCTTGCTCCGTCTTGGCCATTACCACTTCCTGTTCCATGCTGGTTGCTGAAGCTCAGACCTGCTCCGTCAGGCTCCTCCTGTAAACCGACACAATCCAAGCAACAACTGGTTAATGCTTGTTTCAGAGAGACGAGTACTTGAGCAGTTCAAGAAATTATTCTGGCCATTAATCACATAAAAATAACAAACTGCGGATTTTTCATTTATTAAGTTTTTTAGTATTAGAAAGACATTAATATTCCAAATATAGAATTGACTCAGTTTTTTAAATTAAGAAAATGTCTACATTTTTGCCTAAAATTACATAATATTTGTGTGTTCAGGTCACAAATGAAGAAAAACCCTTTGGTGAACCAGTACTAATAAATGTAGTATACATTTTTTTACTCTGTTTTTTGATAGGATTGTGTCATTAAATTGAAAATATTTTGGTTTTACACCGTTTCTGTTGCTTCAAAATAGTTAACACTATTAAAAGTCCCAAATTGTAAAAAACAAACAAACAAAAAATACAATTGGAAATGATAAATACCCACATCTAATTAAATGTTTTGATCATTCATTAAATACAGGAATAAATTAGATAATGAAGCTTTTAAGTCTTTTTAAGTTAAATTCTTCTAGTATTTGAGTTGTATTTATTTAAATGAATTCAAAGTCTATGTGCTGAATTGCACCATTAAATAATCCACTTTCACAGACTCAACCCAATATTTGCAAAGGACCAGAAATAATCACACACACTCAAATAAAAAAAAAAACTTTTGTTGTTTTTAAAGCCCTTTATGAAAGAACTTAAACTGGTGTCTTTCTGAAAACAGAAACATTTTATTTGTAAACTTATCAAAGGTATTAAAAATATATAAAAACATTAATAATATTTCTAATACTGAGATATAACATAAATTAAAACTTGAATGATTTTCAACAATTAATACAATTTAATATATATATTTCTAATTTAATTTAACACACACTCATATTTTAAAAAAATATTTACTGATCTAATTGTGGCACCTCTGGCACTCCATAAGTAACTTATAAATTGCATAGCAAATTTATTGCATTGACTTTCATTGCAGTTATCAGAACCAGTAAAAGGCGCCCTCTACCGGCAGAAAGCCACTTTTAAGGTGGACCTGTAACTAGGAAGCCAAGTTGGGGCTGCTTCTCAAAAGGCTCCGTCTATTTCCTGGACTGCAATCTCATAACGGCGGGAAAATACACAGGCGTCCAAATCAATACAATGCAGTCAACACCACAGAATGTGTGTTGTCGTAATGTTCATGTCCAGTATGTACAATAATAAATAAAATATATGCAACATGCGCCAGAGAGCCCTTAAGACATGGCGCATTTTTAATCGGAGTATTTATTTAAAATAACAGCCGTAATAGAAGCTTTGAGCAGAGTCTGGATAATTATCCAGGTATTAGCCAGCTTCAGAAACCTACCGCTGTAGAAAGAGATGTAAAGACGATCAGAGGCTGCAAACACCAGGCTGCATTTCTCATCTTAAACTCAACCCCCGGGACATTTCAGGTTCATTTTTCGGTAAATATTAATTCAGGAGACATACCGTAAACAGAAAGTGCGTGTTTATTGTTGCTGTGGTGGCTTCTTCTTCTTCTTGAAATTTATTGACGGTTGGATAAAGACGTTAGATGAACATTACCGCCACCAACAGGTCAGGAGTGTGAAGCACTCCTGGCCTCTATGACATGAAATAAAGAAGAAAAAACTATATCCTACTATAAAACTTACAATGTTTTAAAATAAATCTAATCAGGTCTGATATTCTCTGCTTCCTGAATACCTTTGCAGTAAATCTACAAAGTCAAATTTCATTTTCATATTACTAAGGTTCCTTATTAACTTGTTTCTCTAATTCCTGCAATGCAAAATAACATGTTGTATTGTCTCATCTTCCCCATAGCCACATTTCCCTGTCTGATGTTTCCCTATCAAAAATGTTCTGATGACTTTTCTCGGTGGTCCATCAGGTCTGGGGACCCTGAAGGAAACAAGAGCTCTGCATTTTTAGTTCCTCACAGAGTGCTTGAATGTTGTTGCCAACATTGAAATAAGATCTGCATACATTAAACCCTTCGTTATGTAAACGCAGGGTTTACATAAAATGAAATAGAAACACAATATGGTTTGGAAAAATAAAATGGGAAAATGTACAAAATAGCAATACCAGGTAATTATTATGTTATATCAAAACTTGTTCCATAAAAAAATCTGGCGTTTACCTTGTTCACTTGTTGAAAAATAAAACACATCTATAAAGTGGGTGTGTAGAATAATGTATGTAAGCGATAAATGGATTACAAAAGTAAGGAATAAGATTGGGATTTCTGAAAAAAATGAAATAATTTTTATCTTTTTTCCCCAATAGTCTAATTCTATTTCATAAATGTGCACATTCAATAATAAATACTGTGATGAAGTACTTTCTGATTCAGTTTCAGTAATAAGTCTTCTTTACTTCACAACTACTGTCAATTATATATATATATATATTTAGATTTTAAAGTTTTTTAGAGTAAAATATTGTAGACAAATTCCACTTTTTTGTTGTTTGTTTGAGCATGAATTCAGTCAGTAATTCAAAATAAACAAAAAAAAAGATGAATAATTCAATTTCAAAAACACTTTATTGACACCAAACATACTTCCAAAGAGTTGATGGTGATGCTGCAGGCAGGACGGATCTCCAGCAGCAGTCAGTCTTGCAGTTAACCTGAAGAAGCCTCTGACTGAAGTCGGCTGCTGTATGACCGTATTAGAACATGCTAACAGTTCAGCAATATTCCACAGCAGTATGATCTGGTGGCTAATCCACCTCATTTGCTTTTGCTGCTCCTCTGTTCATCTCTGTTTTAATTCCCTAATTCAATTCACTGTTTCACCGTTTCAACTTTTAACATCTTACGCTGTTGGAAGGCTTAAAAAGTGGAGCATTTGTATGATTTAGATTAAGGTTACATAAATACAGATCTTCTCAAAAATAATAATAAAACGATGTAAGTTTATGTTCATAATACAACTGAAATAAAGATATAATGAAACATTTAATAGATTTCAGAAGACTAAAAGTGGGGCCAAATTTAAAGAACCTGACTGAAATTATTCTAGTGTAACTTGTCTCATAAAATAATATGAATTATAATAGTTTGTGGTTTAATAGAATATACATATATTTACTGGCTGCAAATAGACTCACACAAAGAATACAAAATACATATAAAAACAGAAAAGAAGATTAAATATACTGCACAATACTGACATTTCAACATTGATATTAGATGACAACAGCAGGCTTGTTTTTGAAACTTTATTAATCTAAAATGACTGGATGAATTCAGCATGCCGTCATAAACGTCCACAATCTGAATCTCTCTTCACACAGTTTGTAATTTTAGCTGAGCTTATCCCACGTTTGTCCTTCCCGTCTTCACCGAGGAATCATGTCGGCCGAGACGAGAAGGCCAGAAAAAAGACGGCAAACAACAAGAGGCACACAGATTATGTTGCACATGGTGGCTGGATAAGGGGGAGGAGAATGAGGTAATGTCAGGGTCAGCAGGAAGAATCTAAGACAAAGAAAAAAGAAATATGCAAATGTGTTAATATGTGAGACAAATAGAGAGAGAAGCTGTCAGTGTGAGACAAGAGAGGCTGAGAGACAATGACAGACGTGGCCGGAGGAAAGGGAAAGGAGCGTTTGAGAAAGACAAGCCCTGAGAGACGGCGTGCTGAACCTGCTGCCCCGTCTCACCCCGCCGCCTCCTCCCAGCCTGTGTGCTTTACCATGGTTACCAGACAGGGCTCCCAATGCAGCCAGTTAATGTGTTTTTCAGCAGCGAGTGCGAGCTGGGTACTAATGTGTCTCAGTCTGTCTCCTGCACAATCAATGTCAACCGTCCTGGGATGCACAAATACGCATGAGGCGCGAAGCCAGGGGGCGCCGAGACGCGCTGGCTGGGTGTCGAGCCACAGAGCCACAGAGCCACAGAGCCACAGAGCCGAGCTCGAGGTTCTGACGCAGGGCGCTTTCCACGGCGGGACATTGGGGACGTTGTAAGTGGAGGAAAAAGAGGAGGAAACGTATGTCAAGAAACTCAAAATTATGAGATTACAAAAAGTGAACATTTCTGAGTCTGAAAAGTCAAAAATGTTGCCAGAAAAACAGAAAGCTTGACATTAATCTATTAATCATTAATCTAAAAAGATCTACAGAAAACATGAACATTTTTGAGTTGGAAAATTGGAATAAAGAAACCATCAGAAAATTTCAGATGAATCTTTTAACTTTTTTTTCGGAAAATTTTTCAAATATTTCAAAATGCAGAAACTTTCCAGAAAAAACGTGGAAATTTTGAAAAGTCAAAGATTTGTGAGGAAAAACTCACTACTAATCTACAGTTGTTTTGGGGGGAAATCAAGTCATTTCAGAGTTTGAAAAGTTGAAAATGTTCTAGAAAAACATGCAGTTTCCATAAAAAATAAGAATATTTCTGCGTTTGAAAAAGTCAAACATTTGCTGGAAAAAACTCAAAAACTTTAAGATGAATCTCAGGAATTTTGGAGTTTGAAGTCAGAAATTTTCTGCTTGTAAGAAACTGTTCATAACTAAACCAGATGCAAATCACACAGCTTTTGCGCCCTGCAAAGATGTCCACGACCCTTGAACTTTGTCTCATTTTGTCTCATAACCGCCACAGGCTAATGTGTAAGTTTATGTGCTAAACCAACACAAAGCAATGTAAAATATTGAAGTGTACAGAAAAGGATGTGTGGATTTCAACCCTTTGAAAGAGTGAAAAGGTTAAAAAAAACCTGGTTTGTATCTGTAGTTTAACTCCTGATGTTTTGGAGTTTGTCTTCAGTAACTACAGATTTATTTTCTTTCCAAGTAGCAGAAACTCTGTTGAACTGGATGTAACGCGTCTCTTCACATCAACATCTTTTGTTACAGTATTAAAATCTCACACTGAAATAAAAAAAGTTGCAGCTTTTGTGTGTTTAACCTCAAAATAAGGATATAAATATTTGAATTTCCCAAATTCATTGACAGCAGAGTAGTTGGTGTATCTACACAATAATGACTATAGAATAAAAGTTAGCAAAGCAAATTTTTATTTCCACCTAACTGTTTGAAGTTGATGTCTTAAAATGTCAGACAATGACTTAAAAACATTCGATTCAATAAATTTAACCACAACCAAATAAAGACAAAACTTAAAATTACATTTTATTTATGAAGGCATCCAAAACGGTGTTAAAACTACATTGATCAAATGAGAAATAAATCAAGAGACAACACAACAGGAATAAACTTTCAGAAAACTTAAAGAGTTAATGAAATAAAGTAACATAAAAAGACATGAGTGAATCCTGCGTGGCTGAAAACATCGGGGTCACAAACCTTGGCTGTCTTTTTATTGAAACGTGGAGCAACACAGCGCACAAAGCCAGCCGAAAGCTACTGTCCCCTTCAAAATAAAACGTCTTTCGTCTCAGGTTTCCATGATGGCTGAAAACGTTTCCTACAGATTCAGCATCTGACAGGTTGTCTGTCCACATTTTAAAAATATGTTCGAAGAAAAAGGATTTAAAAATGTTTCATTCTGCTGGAAGCAAATGCATGAAACGTTGTTCCCAAGGACCTCACCTGTGACCTTTTACATCATCACAGGTTAAGGGTCTCAGGGACAATGAAGCACACCCGTGCGACCCACCATATTTAAGTTTTAACACTTAAATTTCACACTTATGATGCTTTAAATACTAACTGCATTCTGCAGGATGAGAAAAACAAGGTCTAAAATAAGAGACAGTTCCTACGTCACAGAAGCTGGGTTGCCGTTTGTCATAGACGCTCTGCAGAACCTGGACCGGACCCCATCCTGCGGAGACAGACGGATTCAGTTAAAGTTCGGTTTGTTGCAGAAATATCAGTGCCAGTGGATCTACTCCAATGTTCTTCATTTTCAATCCCTTTTTATCGTCTGTTTCAGTGGCATAGCCAACGCCTTTCATTCAGTGCAGGTCTGTGGGGTAAAACAGTCAAAGAAGCGCCCCCTGCTGGCAGACACGTGTTCGAGCATTTGAGATAAGATGAAGATTCATACGGAGATCCATAGTTTTTATCTGCAAGTTGGAGGAATTAAAGAATGTAAATTAAATCACGATGAAATGTTTATATTTTGTGAATATTATCGCCTGTGCTTCATCGACAGCCAGATAGCAATCCCTTCTTATATTCCTGCAGGCCTTATGATCTCATAGGATTATGTAATCACTCCCCCATGACAAAATTTTTTAGCCCTGAACATTTTCTGCAGACAAAACACACGGCACACACATGGGGGGCTCAAATAACACCGGTTCGTCCAGAGGACACCTGTGTCACGTCCTGAGCTCTGGACGTTTGTCTCCGGCTGGGCGCAAAACATGCAGGCAAACATGCGGCTTGTCCGAATGGACGTGTAGCGTTCGGTCTGTTATGAATTTACGCTGCGTCTCTTTGTTGTCTCTTTGTCTCTGCTGCACTGAGACGCCCTCCTCTGCCCCAGTTTTATGAGTTCCTCTGCTGTCCTCGCAGGCACAGGAGACAAAGACAGGAGAAACATTCACACGTGGAAACGCTGAATCAGACAGAATGGACATGGAGACGGATGATGGAGGGCGGACGGACGCGGTCAGTCGGATTCATCGTCTCAGTTTGTTAAGCGGCCCGATAAGTTATTCTGGACTCACCATTTGCTTTTGCCTGCTGTTCCTGACATGAAAACACACAAAGACACACGTTTACAGTCAGGTCCGCACACAACACACTGTTACGATCAGTTATTAATCCACGGGAGAAACAGGAAAAACGACATTTATCCATGTGTTAGGGAAGAAAGCGTTTCATAAAACCTATCCTGCCCCGTCTCCACAGTCTTCACTGAGCGCAGCGCGCGGCGGCAAATGGGAAAAAAGCTTCTTTTTTCCCCCTCTCACCCTCCGTCCCTCACTCTCCTCTCTTTTTCTTTTTTTTTGTCTCTTCTTCTATCCCTCTCTCCCAGCCGCTGTCCCTGGCTCTGGTGTGTGCCTGTCTCCCTCTGCCAAGTCACATCACTAATTCTCCAGGCGATTAGCGTCCGAACAGTCGATGCCTACGACGCAGGTACACACACACGCACGCATGCACGCACACACACACACACACACACGCATGCAGACAGTTGCATTGATTCCATTATCTGGTGCTCTAACGGCACCCACACTTCCACCAACCCCCAACAACCATCACCCTCTCCTTTCATAAATCTGTGTCACCTGCATACAACACACACAAACACACAGTTACTTATGCAAGCATGCAGCATCTCCAGCTATTGCTTTTTCTCCTTCCTTTACACCCTCCATCACCCTGTCCCCGCCTCCTTCTCCTCCGTCTCGCTCACTCTCTGAACCCCCTTTTTACTTTTTTTTCCTCCAAGGCGTGACGTCCCGTCTCGCCAAGAGAAGAAGAAAGAAAAAAAAAGCGACATTCACATGACGGCATGTGTCTCTATGCATTCTTGTGTGTGTGTGTGTGTGTGTGTGTGTGTGTGTGTGTGTGTGTGTGTGTGTGTGTCTTTGGGTGATACGATGCTCCTGCATCTGGAGGAGGGAGTTTGTCAGAAAGGGGGTTTGCACGCTGGTTCCTTCATCTCAAAGGGAGCGGAGTGTGTGTGTGTGAAAGAGGCAGCGGAGAGACACGAAAAGCTGTGTGAGGATGAAAGCCAAAGGTGATTAACCTCCCGGCCGTTTCTGACCACAGCAGCACAAACAGTCTGCAGTTTATGTCAGCACACAACGCATCCGCCGCCCTTTAATTTGGCAGAAAATGTGCCAAATACCTTAGCTTAAAATAAAATAAGAGTCGATATAATGGGGGGTAATATAAACACACAATTTATAACAAATGAATCCTGCTGCCTGTTCGGAAAGAGCAGGTGTGAAGTGGGTCTGATGTGAAGGCTGAATTTGCCCTGGAGTTGGAAACCTGCCGGGGAGTTGCTTCTTTGTGCAGCGCTCAGCAGAGATCGCTGATATGTGCTTTTTTCCCCCTTTTTTTCATCCCTTCCTCGCTGGAGCGCTGCAACGCAATGCGGATACTGGGTGTCTGAGCCACTAGCCAGACACACTGGGGGACAGGGGAGGGGAAGGAGGCGGAGGCAAGTTCAGCCTCGTGCTTCAGGAGACACTGACACTAATGTCTGCTCCTTTAATCCGACATTTGTGTCATTCTTTTAGGTTTTTTGATTCAAAACACATTTCTCAGGTTTCTCTTAGAGTTGAGAAGAAGGCCTGTTGCAATAAATCAATCGCACAATAAATTAAAACAGTTTAAATACTTTGTAATTGCATGATTGATTGTTGTCTGTGGGGTTCAGATTGATTGTTCTGCCGAAAACTGGATGATAAAAGTCTTCAATCTGGCTCTTTGGTCTCAACCAGGTCTTTTTGTGAAGGACAATTTTGTTATAAAAACTTTATTTCTCATTTAATTTATTTTTTCTGTTCTTGTATTTGTATATTTTGGATATTTAAAATGTCTTTCAGTTCCAGAGTTAAATGTTCGTCAGAATTTATTGTTTATTGACCTTTGAGGATGAGTTCTTGCCATTACTATAATGTAATAATATTACAATATTATCATTTACCGCAATAAATTTATCATCTAGCAGAATTTGCTAATGTGGCCGAGTTTCTGAGCAAAAAATAAAAAGTAGTTTCAATGAAAAGAGCAGAAATGAAATGGCCTTTTGGAAAAACTTGTAATTTTTAATAGATATCTATAGCAGGAATTTTAAAAACTTCACTTCTACTTTTAGGTTTTGAAAAAGAAAAAGCAGCAAGTGGTGAATGAATATCTAAAAACACTATTATTACTTTCAGTCTCATTCTGTGGTGAAAATTCTGACAAAATGTAAGACAACCTCTTGGAGTGACGTTAATGAAACGAAGCCGTTATTGACAGATGGCTCTTCATCACGTTGGACTGCACCAAATAACTAATCAAAGACACTGCAGGGCGAGGTGTCTGTGTTGAAAACAGGATTATTGCGATCTCGAAAGCTAATCAAACCTAATCTAGATTTATTAGATTTACAGTCAGAGCTCAAACTGTTTTGTTGTTTGTGTTTGTGCAAATATAATTACTGACTTGAAAGCGAATTAGAATAATTTGAAACCTAATAATAGCTGCGACGTGTGTGGCGCAGACAGTCAGTTCGTCTGTTTCACTGTTTGCAAAACAGATATGTTGCTTTCCTGTATAAAGACGTCAGGAAACAAATTTACAGTAGGTTTAGTTTAAATTTAACCCAGGAATTACTTTAATATATGCTTATTGAGACAGATTTCTCTCTGGGTTCAGCAAAAAGTCATTTATTTTATAACTTTCTGCCCTTTTTCTCTCTCCGCTCTCCATACTTACCATATCAAAAAGAGGGTAGACTGAAGGCGTTCATCTGAAGTCTGGGTGACTCCGCAGGGAAAGCTAGAAGGTTGTACAGTTATCTCCAGGCTGTTTATTATGCGAAACCATACAACCAACTACCTCACACTGCAGAGCACCGGAGCAGGGTCAGCGCTGGAGTCTGCCGGCTCTCCGTCTTCTTCTTCTCCTCCAGATTCTCTCTATCGTCTTATCAATCGTTATATCTTTTAATCTGTTTTCTAGAAAATGTAAAATGTCACGCTTCCTAGTGATTTGCATAGGTTCTAGAAGTTTAGCAATGTGAGAAAAGACAGAAAAAAAAGACATCCTGCACTGTGGTTTTCTGTGGACTTGTCTCCCTCTTGTGGGAGGACGCAGAACAAAGACACCCCTTCCCCCTCCAGAGGCCGCAGCAGACCTTCGCTGTCTGGAATACAAAGACGAGCACTTAACCTGCAGTTGCATACTGTAGGCGTCTGCATGACCTACTTCTGCAAGTGGAGCGGCTGGAATCTTCCTCATCCTCAAAGATTTGATTCAGCTCTATGCTGAGCTTTGTTTCTCTGCCTCTCAGAGGTTCAACTCTTAACTGTGACCTTTTATTGTTTTTGATCAGGTTGAACCTCTACTTAAATAGCAGTGCTGTTGCAGTTTCTCCGATGCATTTTAAATAGAAACTCTTAAACCGTTTTCTTCTCAAGATGGATGGCAAAAGTGCTCACATCTGTGTTTGGTGACAATCTCAAACTGCAACGTATTTTAGTCAGGCGGGCAGAGTACCCAAAAATAGTACTGAAGTAATAACAGCACAACTTCAACATATTTTTACTCAAGTACAAGTAAAAAGCAGCTTTCTAAGAATTACTCCATCAAGAGTAAAAAATAAGGCTCGACAAAATGGCTGAAAACTTATCACGATTTTAAAAAATTGATTATTATTGATTCCTGTTTTGTTTTAAATGTCTGAAATCCTTCCCAACTCGTCCTGTTTTATTCACAGTCTTTTCTCCACGCTGTTGCTTTTTATTTCTAAACTGATGCTGCTGATGCTGCTGATGATGCTGATGATGCTGCGTCAGTTAGTCGACAGGTTGTTGCTAGGTAACCGCAGAATGAGTGAGTTGCTAGGCAACCAAAGAGCGAGTGAATCAGTTGATTCCACCAACTTTCCTCGACTGGCTGTGAGAAGCTGAGCGGTGCGGCTCTGAGTCGGAGTTCAATTAATATTCTATGAGATGATTTACCTACTGATATTGATCATACGGCTGTCACGATACATTTTGTCATTGATTTATTGTCCATCCCAAAGTTAAAAGAAAATATCTGGCTTAAAGGTTGTTCAAGTCCAGAGTGACTGATCTGAATATCTGACTTAATATTTATAAATGATGCCTTCAGATAGACAAAAATGTTATGTCAAATTCTGGTATT